GTTCAACTTTTTCTCGGCCCAATTCCGATCTGTGCCATATCCTGTAGTTTTTAAAAGCATCTGCTGCCTGAATGGTAATATCCCATTTTATCCAACTTTTACGTTACTGACGTCAAACACACGTTTCAGTTTCGCGCCAGAAATCAGACGCGGAAATCCAGACGTGAACAATGTCGAAAAATAAGGACATTGTGAAAGAAGTCTGTTACAAAGAACATAAGGTAGTCGTTGTTATTGTTTATTCGTTTTATTGCCGCGTGCTTTTACACGGTCATGCCGGTCAAACTGCAAATAAAGATAAGAAACAAAACTTCAATACTTAGTATTGCAATCTTCAATTAACGGACTTAAACATAGATTTAGATTGACCATCACTTGGTTAACTAACCGGTTATAAGGCAAAGTTTACACTGATGTTTGAAATATCAGCATTCAAACATCACGGTGCCGCAAATCACAGTTAGCATTTGGCTAATTGCGTTTAGCAAATGCCAAGCACACAAATAAAACATAAGAAACTAATCTCCCAACAGCTTACAGCATTAATATAACTCATCACGTTGGGCAACACTCATGAACGCCAATAGAATATGCTTTTGTGGTTGATACGACCGTTAGCTAAGGCTAACTGCAATCTAAGTGCATTGCTGGTCTGCCGTAAGTTTCTTTTCTGTCACCTCCCTTCTTGTAAAGGAACTACAGCGCCCCCTAGCGAAATGGGAGGAGTGAATCAACAGTCACTGACAAACCCGTCCTGTTTCCAATTAAAACTGACCTCTCTACAGAAGTTGCAGTCAATGCTCCTCAAAACGCCATTTCAATTCGTTTAGCTTTCTGTTTGTTAGCTTCCTTAATCTTGTAATGATTTTCGAGGCGATACTGTCGGCTACCACTGCTTAACAAATTTAAAATCGATCCATAACATGGCGGCATCCATTATTGTTTCCATAAACAGTGCGCCTCCGTGTGACGTCATTAACGGTCGTCTTCTGCGCATGCGGGTCGCTTTGGGATCGTCAACGTTCACGTGTCTTCCTAAAATAACGGCTTCTTTGTTTTGCTAAAAGTGATTTTGAATGAATAAATAAATTGTTAGTAAAACCTCATCCTTTACACAATATATTTTAGGTTAAAAAAAATTGTTTTCACAATAAGACTGTTCTCAATGTGTGTATTGTGAAAAAGGGTGTTTAAAAAGATGCTCAATGTTTAACATTTTGCAACTGCTATACAAAATGCTCATGAATGCTTGTGTTTCAAGACATCAGTTCATATCTAAGCAGCTCTTTGAACTTCAACATTGTTTTTTGTAAGAATTTTCTATATGGCAGAGATTTTTGTCGGTGTGTGTTTGCCCCTCGGATTTGGCCTTGGATATTTAGTTACGACTTGGTATGAAGAAAGGTTTTTATCAACTACTTCCTGGAAGCGATTTAGAACGAAGTAGTGCTCAGAACAAGAGAATTTCCTCCAGATACGATGAGTTTAATGCATTTTTTGACCTTTCTCCAACAGAGAAGCAAACCTCCCTGGCTGGGGAGGTTTGCTTCTCTCAATACGACGTTTTTGAATTTTTTTTTTTTTTATGCTTCGCCAACTGGAGACAGTTGATTCTGAATACTCAAAGTTTGAATTTGAAGAAAGCACCCATGAAGACAGAGTTGATCTCGGGAACGATTTCTCCAATCTCCAAAATAGAACCAACTTGCTTGGCTGGGGATGTTTGCCCTGTAGCTGAACAGACGTTGAAGGCAGACGACGACTGTGTTATTACTGCAGGTGGCCACTGCGAGGAAGATATTTATGAAAGGGGATTTCTTTACATTTCTGAGGAGAAAACACCAAGTGTGACATCTTCCCCTGCTCCCCATCTCCAGGCCAGTTTTCTACAGGAGCCAGAATTGTTAAGAGATGTTGCTGAAAACGAGACAGAAACTGGAGGAATTATTGTGAGTCAGAAAATGTGTTTAATCAACAAAAGAATATACATATATTGGAGAAATTGTTTTTAATTTTGTGTTAATTTTGCATTTTCGTGGTTATGATTTGCTTTTGTGATTTTTCTCATGTTTTTATTTTTTCTCCTTTCTGTATATGGACTTACGTTTGTGTCTGCAGCATCATGCCAAGAATTGAATGATTAGCTTTAAATTTAATTTCAACTGGTAAAAAGTATTTGCCAGCTGAAATTAAATTTCCTGTTTCAGATTAAAATTACTTTATTGATCCCAGAGAAAATTTAATGTTCATCAAGATTCTTCAAAAAGCCGTTGAAGATGCCGATAGCTGGCCACAGGAAAGATCTCCTGAAGCGGTCTGTACCACATTGAACCTGAAGAACATTAACACTAACATATATTTATATATATAGAATACCTGTCTTCTTTTTTCCCAAGCAGAAAACTGAGCATTTGATTGTTGGTTTTTGTAAATTGCACTCAAGTTTTCTAAGATTTGATTTAGGGAACTGAAACAAGAGCCAATATGGCTGATTAAGAAAGGAAATCGGTTTGCAGACGGTACTTTTTCTCTGTTGAGTCATAACCTCACACTGCTGAAACAAACAGTAGGGGAAGACTTTGGTTTCTCTGATATTTTCGCATCAGTATTTCACATTTCTTCACAGCTGAAGAAATGTTATTATGTTATTTGATACGAGTTTCTCAAATGGAGGATCTGCTGCATGGTGGCTTGTTCAGTCTTCGAGTAAATTAATCTCTGGCATACTGTACATCCAGCTTCAGTCTCTGTGTTTCATTGAATCTCAGAAAAACAGTGAAACTCTTGAACATCTTGAACATAGACGTTAATAAATTAAACAGTACAGCACCACGAATTTAGTGGAAAACTTAACTAAATTCGTCTTTGCTTGCTCAATCCCAACATTATAATTCATAGAACCAAGAGATTTGAAGCATAACAGATAATCCAGAGTTTTCTCTGGTGAGCTAAATTACCAGTAAACTGCAAAAACACAAAAACCTACCAAGTAATTTTAGTTTCTAGTGCGTCTCTGTCCAAACCAACAGTCTGAGTGTTTACTAGTTTGGCCAAGTCCGTCACAAATTCTGAGACATCAGTTCAGCTGTTCCTGAAGGATGTGTTTGTTTTTTTTGCAATCAAAATTGCAGATTTTGAGGTGACAATTTAGAAATGTTTACATGATGTTAATGACTTTATAATTAATCACCAAGTCACTTAAACTCAATGTTTTTCACCAAATTTGGCCCCGGTTCCTTCAATTTGACAGATGTGCTCTAGATTGTTCCTCTTTAAGTCCAAAAACAATAACTTCAGTTCTGTTTTTATTGAGGTAAAAAAACATTACTGTGCCTCATTTTCAGCTGTTGAATGACTTTGTGGTCTCCTGCTGAAATTGTAACGTAGAGCTGTGTATCATCTGCGTAGTTTTATTACTTTCCTCTTCTGCTGGAGTAAAAATAGATTGAAGTTGTGCTACGCCTCCCTGAGTGATTCTCAGAAACGTTTCACAAACTGCTGCTAAAGTTTATGACATTAATGAAACTCCTTCGTCACAATTCATGACAAGAACAGTGAGGTTCTGTAAAATGTTTCCTGTTTAAAACTTAGAAAATTACTTTGTTTAATGCTTCTCTGCTAATTCTACGCTGAGCTACAACCTGGTGGTTTTTATTCAAACTTCAGCTCTCTAGGGAACTCCTATTTGAAAAGCAGGAAATAACAAGTGAACGTTTCTTATTTTTTCTGTGAGCAGGTCAAGGTTGGATTAGATTTCCTGTCTGCATTCCTGTATGTTTATCATTTTTCTTTTTTAAAATTGCTCTTTTGGAGATTTGCACAAGTTGTTCACACCTGTGAATCTACAATCCTCTTGTGCATTTAGTGAGGACCAGTTAAAATATTAGGTAAGTCTCATTTTTCTCTGCTGCAAGAAATCCAGTCATGTAAAGCTGGAGTTGAGGTTGGAGAGTCATGTTTCCTTTGGGTTAAAACAAAACCATCTGGGTTGATTTTACTATCTGAAAGTAAAGTAGAACAAAAGTGTTTCTGGTTTGCACAACTCTTTCTTTGTAGTGACTGGTGTTTTCCAATGAAAACCAAACACAAACCAATATGTCTTCACATGTTCGGACACATTATGGAGTGTTTTCTGCAGCATCTTTTTTATATTTAAATTTTGTTTAGAAAGTGATAACGTACAGCTACAACATAAATGCTACCATTTGATGTGCTGTACCAGATTTTAGCATAAACTAATTCAGATCTGCTGTCGCTTGGCAGATTACAAAAATGCAGCAGGGCAAAGCTCAAAATGTGGCAGTGACATAAGACAGGGTTTGTGACATGTGCCATGGTTTTTGTGATGTTTAAAAATCAATAAATTAAGCATGCAATATTTTAATGAAACAAAGTGGCAACTTTTTTTGACAGTTTCCTAAGCATTTTCAGTTACTTTTTGTTTATTCACAGCAACAAAAATAAGTACTTTCTTTAAAGAAAATGCTTCTTCTATTATCCAGGTGTTAAAACAATGAATATTATCTATCTTTTATTAAGTATAAACTTGCTGGACATTCATTTACCATGAAATTAAAAGAAACAAAAGCTAATAAAATAAAATAAAAAAATGTCCCTAATGCTTTCTATTATAGAATAATTAAGTTTATCTCTGATGAAAAGTTTAGACTAGATTTGTATCGTCCTTGAACTACAAATTTTGATGACTGCACAGAATTGTTTTAAGCTCCACAAATGGCCCCCAAGCCTCACTTTGGACACCCGTGATGACTGATTAAAAGTAATCTAGAAAGAATACAACAAACACTGGTCAGGAAAAGATGAAAATAATTATCTGATCACTTAAAAATATCAATTAAGACAAATTTTTATCCCTAATATGAGAATGTCAATGTTTAGATCAAGCTGGATATGTAGAGATGTGCAGACAGGGTGAGCTGGAGGCAGATGAGCTGCTGTGGCGCCCCCTGGGGATTGCAACAGGGGGTTGCCTGGGGGTGTGGTCATTAAACATCTGCACCGAAATCAGAGTTAAAGAGCTGAACGTCTGAGCATGAAACAGCAGAAATAATGATTTCTGCAGCAGTCACCCCTAACATTCCTCACGCCTCTCCAGGCAGGAAGGTCGCCTCTTATCCATGAATCAACTGTTGGAAACACTTTCCCCCTCGTTTTCCCTTAAGCAGAGCTTTTATCTGGAGGATCAGCAGATTTTGAGGAAACGCCTGTTTTTTACATGAACTCGCAGACTGTCTGAGGCGGAAACACCCGAGTCTCCAATATTCATCACACCGAGTTTCTGCAGTGAGTAAAACTTTAACTTGCTCCATCCGAGGGGACATTTGAGATTTTGCTTTACTTTATTTGCTCTATAAGCCAAATGGCTCATATTTACAGCTGTTTCTGCTATTTTATGCTGTTTGGAAATTATCTCACTGTCATAAACTGTTGTGAAAGAGGCTGGAATGATGTTCTGCAGATGTTCTTCAAATCTCGGCTGTTTCCATGGAGTTTGCGTGTTTTCTCACTGGATGCGTGTCACTGTGACATCCTTCCACATTCCTCTGTGTATTGCTCTGTGTAAGCGCGTGTAGCTTTCTGCAGTGGTGGCTCTCGGATAAATGGGGCCCAACAGGGGCCCCAATTCTGCGCTGGCCAATGCCCCCCCAATCAGTGTTGTTGGTGTTGTTTTGAATTTATCACCCCAGAAACATTCAAAAATCCATGATGGAGTGTTTATTTGCTATTTGCTACCAGAATATTAGCAAAATTAAAATGTAAACTTACAAGAAAAAACATACTTGTAATGAAAAAAAAACTTCAGTCAATAGAATATACAGTTACTCAATCAATCAAATTCAACTGTAGCACATTTTGGCAACAAAGCAGTTAAGTTCCTCTGTTAAAAAAAAACTATAAAAACAACACAGAGTTACCAATAGAGAAACCTGTAACAAATATTACATTTTGTCGATTATCAAAATCATCAACAAACATTGAATATGTTGGTCAATGTTCCAGTGAACGGCTCTAATTTCATATATAAGACGCACTGGATATATAGCAGAACAAAGTAGTCAGATAGGTCAGACTTTATTCAGATCTTTAACAATAACTGTCAATATTACACAAAAAAAAGTACACTCATTTTTTCAATCATTCCTCTTCTATGAATCTGTCAAATGTCTCGTCATTGTTGTTAGAATTTAACAGTTGGGCAACAGCGGCCTCAAGCAAGCCCGGATCCGTCTCGCCATCGTCCGATTCAGTCTCACTGCTGTTGCTTGGCTGTTCAATGATGAGTCCGGCCTTCGTGAAAGCTAAGCTGCCTAGACAGCATAGAAAACTGACTCCACAGGTTTCTGACAACAATCAAGGGGAGTGGCTTACCAATCGACAGATTTTTCAGCGCAGTGTGAACATGCACTGCTCATATATAAGGTGCACTGGAATATAAGGCGCATTGACAATTTATTTTTGGAAATATAGGAATTTTATGTGCGGCGTATAGTCCGAAAAATACGGTTGAATGGTTCAAAAGCAAATCTAAACAACACTACACGTCACACTTCAAGGAGCTTTGTAGCTGACAGCCATCTTGGTAGGTACCATAACTCACTGTGATACATTAAGTAGAGTAAAATAAACAACCCTGAACAAACTACAGACCAGTGGTTCCCATTGGGCAGTTGGTGGCAGATAACAGTTGACATTAATTTTAACCATTTTAAAAAACATATACACAAAACCTAGCAAAATTAACTGTGTCTACCTGAAATGCGCTGCACTTCAAAAAACAGGGGGCGGGGCTTTCGTTACTGGTTGCCACGGTAACCACCAACTGCCAAAAGCAGAGGAGTTACGTCAGAACCGATGCAGCAATAAAAGTCAGGAGAAAACAACTTATTGAATTTGAGGAATAAATAAGCCAGTTTGGACCAACTTCACATCGATAGTAATGTTTTTGAATAGTTACGCAGATGGGCGGATATTTTCTCGAACATCTCCAGATATGGAGCTGATGATGCTGCTTTGCTGCAGTCAGAGTGAGTGCAGCTGCTTCTGGGGCGAGAAGACCAAAGTTCAACAGCCTGCAGACAGTCACAGGGTACTGAGTAGAGAAATTAAAGGGTAGTGGCTGATTCCTGTTCTGCATTGTGTAACATGTTACAGTCAGCAAGTGCTGCAGTTTATACCCCAAAATAAACTGCTGCATGCCTCAAAGCAGAAGTAAAGCCTTCACATTTTATTTCTCATTAACATTTAATCAATATGCATATGACATTTATTCAACAGAACATGAAATGATCTACATTAGGAAGAAAACAGAGTACTTCAGAAAGGCAACGGTCCTCGCCGTGTCAATACACCAACCCAGCAGCAGGTGGCAGTGTGACTCCCACACTTCGTCCAGCCCAAAAGGTTTTTTTAACCAACAGTTATAAATGTTAAGAACTAGATGTCTTTCTGGACCTCTTGTTTTCTCGCTTCTTGCTTTTTCCTGACTTTTTGAAGTCAGGAAAAAGCAAAAAAATTAAATGAAAGAGCGTATTTATTAAAATGCTAATGCCTTCTGATTTATCATTATGATAACATCTCACCTTAATCCTTTTTTAAATCTTTCCATCTGCATTAACTGTCTGTGCAGATGAGAACTTTTGGACCATTCTTGACTTGCAGGCTCTGATTAACTACCAGCCTGACGAGCTATTACACTGGTTAGCTTTTAGCCTAAATTTGATTAGCTGTTAGCTTGATTCTGATTTACGGTAAACTTCACTCTGATTAATATTTCTCTTAGAATGTTCCTGAGGGATTTTTTAAAATATATTTTTGTCAAATATGGTGGTATTGCTGTCATACGTACACAACTCAAAATACAAATAAATGTTTTTTTCTTTTGCACAATTTTAACAGATTTTACAACAACAAAAGAAAATCGAAACCACATTACTCCATTTGTACACACACACTGATTCATGGAGCAACATGGGATTAATATATAATCAAACTCACTTCTGCTCCCAACCAAGCTACAGTTGCCAAGTTTACTTCTAGTAATGTACTGATTGCTACAAGCTACTCCAAGTTTCGAAACAAAACTTTACGAAAACTGTTAAACCATAACTTAAAGGGTAAAAAGCAGAAGCTGAACTGAGAAGTGCTCCTTTGAGAAAGTAGTGGTGACCCAGTCCAGTCCCTGTGGAGTTCCCATCTAGCAACTTATAGACGAATCCGCCTGGATCAAATACTGGATTCATGTCAGTCAGTTTTAAATAAGCAGCCTAGTAATGATAGAGCGTAAAAATGCCAAGTTAGCAACAGCAGGCAGCAAAGAGCTTACATCATAACGGCTAGGTGGATCCAAATCAAGAAACTTGAGCTACTCATCGGTTCTTCAGCAGAAACTTTGCATCCGTGCAAATACAAAACTTAAGTAACACCTTTGGTGATGAATCAGCACTTAGGTTGATAAACACATTTCTGTGGTTGAATGTTTTCTGACATGAGTATCACTGTAGCGTTGCTTGTCTCCAGTGGAAGAAAAACAACACATTGCTGATTTTACCAGTTCAGAACTGGAACGTCTTAGGTGGGAAAGCAATCCCTTCGTTTTCTGCACATATTCATGCAATCGGTTTTTAAACCAACCCTTGACTTTTCCACAGAAAGGGTCAAGAGTGCCTGAAGAAGTGAACTTTTAAGCAGCTTCAGAGAAGAGAACAAAACATTGAGATCAGTATCAACAGGAAGTGAAATTAGTGTGAAACATATTCTTAAAACTGCTTTGAGTTTCTTCTTACACCCATCATGTTCTGGTTTCTTCTTAAATGTTTTCGACTCTTAGCCCCATGTGTTCTATGACGACTTTGTTCCTCTTGAGGTTTTAGACTTCCTATTGCTTTACTTATTTACACCCTCTGCGAGTATCAGTCGCTGCATTTCTTGTCACAGGCGCTGCAGCAAACACAGCTCACCGGTGAGGCATTTTAATTTAATATTTACCTGCATGACCAGCTTGAGGCGACTCTTTCTTCCCCACTTGTACGTAAACCAACAAAAATCTGCTTATTTTATATTTGCAGTATTTAGTATGCATATTTTTCTCTTGCTTATTTATGTTTGTGGAAAGTATTTTGCAAAATGTTTATCTGTGTTTTTATTTTTTGACTTTTTGTCAGGGATTCTTGCAGACAGTTAAAAATGTTTTCCACTGTGCATGTGACAATAAAAGGTTGAACTTGAACACTTATGTGAAAACAAATGGGATGACAGCTAAATATCATTAATAGGCCTGGATTTTGAAAAATGCATCCTGGAAAGGAGACTATATTATGTATTTATTTATTTTGAACAGAAAAACAAAAAAGTTTTAAAATAAACTAATTATCATACCAGTTTTACATAATTTGTTTGAAGAGGAGCAGGTAGAAATAGAAACTCATTTGATTTCTTGCCTCTCAGCTTCATTTATGAGGATAATTTCTATTTATTTCAATTAATCGTAGTTCAGACTTACGTTTTTGTACTTTCATCTGGTTTATGCTATAATAGTAGCAACATAATTAGCAGTCTGATCTGTTTAACATCTATATTTTTTCATAAATTGGTTCTTAATATTTCAGTGTGTGTTAACAGAAGATTTTTGAGTTAAAATGTTAGATAAATTGCATGTCTTACTTTGTGGTGTGCTTATTATAGAGCCTTGTTAAGCTGTGAATAATTATTCAAAGGATGTGGGTAAAGTGAGAAGAAGAAAGGAACCATCAGCTAATGAATTCATCAATTCTCCTCTGAGGTGCAGAGGACGTGCAGACAGAGTAAACATGCAGGAGAGGAATGCATCATGCATTTTATTCTGGCAGACATCTGCTGTCTGGTTTATAACAGCTGATTATTTTCAATTTTTAGTGAGGGACTTTCAGGGAAGCTATATAAAAAATATCCAAATATTTTTTATTTAAAAAAACAGAACTTGAATTGGGGGGTTGAAACCAAAACCACGACTGCAAGAAAAAGAAAAAAAAAACTTGTTGCTTTCCTTCTTCTTCTACCCAACCACTATTGTCTAACAAATATAATCGTATATAAACCCAGACTTGTGATTTGGACCCCACAGAATGTGAGCAGCCTGCAAGGCGTTGTACGTTACTGCAGAAAAAAAGCCTCCTCTAAAAAAAGGTAAAAACTAAGTGTTGTGGTTTGTAGAGATAGTAATTAACCACAGGTGTTGAGCAAACATCCCAGCTTGTATTTTATCTTCACAGTGATTAGATCAGCCTTCTGCCACCCAGATGAGCTTCTGATACCACAAATTAAATTGTTTTCACTCTGTAAGTATCACTAAATAAATGAGCTTAGAAAGAACATAAACAACATTCAGAACATTTTTTCATTTGTGTGTCATTTATAGCAACAAACATTATTTTTACTATAATTTCTTAAGTCTGACCCAAAGTTGTCCATCATTCATCGGGTTGCTCCAACTGTGGTGTGAAAGTGAGCTGCAGCAGCTGAAATTGTCTGCATTTTGAAATTTTTGTCCCAATTGAACAGAGTCTACCGAACTATCAGGCGTAAAAACAGCTAGGCAGAAAACAATGGATGTATTTTTACTGTAACTATAAATCTAAAACCTTAATGGAATGTATTCAAAAGGAATGCAAGCTTATTTTGGTCACATAATCTATAGCTTAAACTGTGCAATCACTGCTCATGATTAATTACTTGTGTTTTTTATTTTAGAGTTCTTAGAAATTCCAAGTTATCTCTCCCTTCCAAGATGGCCTGCTTTCTTCCCAACAACTCAGTCACGTCAAGCCAAACATGTGTCGCACAAAACCTGACCTCAATGAGCATTTTTAACGCCTCTTTCATTGGAATCGTGTCTGTCATCGGCATCGCGGAAAACCTCCTCATCCTGGCTGTAGTGGGCTTCCGTGTCAGTCGCTCCATCATCAGCGTCTGGATCCTGAACCTGGCAGCGTCGGACCTCATGGCCACACTTACCTTGCCCTTCTTCAGTCTGTACCATGCCAGCGGACAGTCCTGGATCCTGGGTTCGACCTTCTGCCGCATCTATTCCTACGTCTTTTTCCTCAACATGTATGTTAGCGCATTCCTGCTGGCCGCCATTTCTCTGGACCGCTGCCTGGTGGTGATGCAACCCGTCTGGGCTCAAAACTACCGAAGCATACAGCTGGTGGGGAAAATTTGTTGTGTGATTTGGGGCTTAGCTATACTCCTCACTATCCCTTTTTTTATGTTCCGTGACACCATCTCCATTGGGAATGGCAAGTGTCTGTGCTACTACAGTTACTCCCGGTACCTCCTAAGCGAGCCCGTTGACCTTCAAGCTCTATGTAGGCACCGCAAAGTGGGTTTGGCTTTTATGAAGCTGTTTTTTGCCTTCTTGCTTCCTCTTGCAATCATCATTCTCAGCTACATCTTTGTGAATTCCAGCTTAGCACAAAGAGGCTGTCGCAGATCTTTCCGATTTGTTCGACTTGTGATAGCTGTGGTGGTGACCTTTGTCCTCTGCTGGGCTCCGTACCACCTTTTCATTGTCATAGAAGTGATGGCTCCCAAACAAAGTTCTGCGCAGAATGTGGCAACCAAAGTCCTTCCGATCTCAGCAACAATTGGCTTCCTCAATAGTGTCCTCAACCCCATCCTATACGTCTTCAGCTGCCCTGACTTGTGTCGTAAAATCAAACATTCCTTCGGAGCGGTCATGGAGAGTGTCCTTGCTGAGGATCTGGCCGAGTGGACACGGCGTCGCAGCACCGTTCGCAGCTCCATCAGCAACTCTGAATATTCAATGAAGAAGAAACACTCAGTTTCTACGTCAAGTCCTAAGGACACCGATTCAGACCAGGTGGAAAATCTCAGCAACTCGGCTGAGATCTGAAATGTGAATTTGTAAAGATGAAAAGAAGAAACCGCTCAATCTCAGCAACATACTGCAGCTGATCTCAACATCTGTTTCAGAAAACAGCGACCTATGACGCTGTTTTCTTTCAGTCGTTAAAGTTTCTTTCAAAAACCTAGACTTTCTTAGAATCTCTTAGGTCATCAATCAGTAAGGTCTTTATTTTGACTGGTTGCTTTTTCATTCATCTTTAGCTCAGTTTCTTGCGATTTTACTCAGAAAGGTTGATTGTGATGCCTCTTAAATATGAGTCAAGGCCCTGAAACTCAAGAATTGGCCCTTTCGTTTCAACAAATGACAGATGACTTCAAAATAGGCCAACAGGTATATTATGTTTTATGACTCTAAGGAAAAATTCAGAAAAAATATTTTGGACACTTGTGGAAAGTGTATTTTGTTCTTTAAGTCTTAGACCAAGATCTTGTGACCATTGATGAGGACAGGAACGTAGATTGACCTGTAAATCAAGAACATCACAACGCCACACCAATCCACCTATTGGTCTTCTGCTCTATTCACTTATACTCATTCTTGTATAACGAACTGAAATATGTTAGTGACAAAAAAAAAAAACCCAGAAAAATACATTTTTGAGTGACTTACTGCTTTTTTACAGCATTAATTTTGTTTTAAATGTTTATTATTCATGGTTTTCATTATTCATGGAAAACTACCATGTTTTTTTTTGTTATTTTCAGGTGTCTCATTATAGATCTTATCAGTGGTTGCAGGTGCTTTTGCAACTCATTTATTTTCCAGCCAATTTCTTTCAAACAGATTGACTTTTTGTAATGCATGACTCAGAATCTGCCTGTAAATCTGCATCATGTTATATTCCTGTATGGTTTCATTGTTAAAAGAAAATGTATAAAAAAATAAAAAACTGAAAAGCAGCAATGTGTTTCAATTAGAGATGATTAATTTTCTTCTTCAAACCAGCTTTATGGAAATGACTTTTATACTAAAAGTTTCACTGTGGGAGGAAATTAGAGTACAAGGAGAAAACAGACATTTCTGCGGAGCTGAGGTTGATGCCATTGTGTTGATGCAGGCAACACAAAAAATAACAGCATAACATTTCTGTTTTTAAGTACAACTGTACACCGAAACATTTTAACTTTAAAATAAATTGGATAATGCAGCAGCAGATCAATATCAACAAGTTCATCTCTTATGCCAGCAAAATATCCTGAAAGTTTTTGAGTGGTCTAGTCAAAGTTTTAACATGGTATATCCTTAAAGCTGCAGTATTTAACATTTATAATATATACATTTTTTTCTTTTTACATATTTGTTGAAACTGTCATTATGTGGTGACGGTAGGACACAAAAATCTGTGAAATACTCAAGCTCTGCTTTCTCTGAGTAGAAACAACCAATCAGAGCCTGGAGGTGGGGCTTAGTGCTGTCAATCAATCTTGTGCAGTTCTGCTCACCCCTCTCTAATGCATCTTTTCTCCATCAGCAGATCTGGTTATGGATGCTTGGCTAGTTAGCATGACGGGAGTTAAACTGTTTTCCTGTAACAGTAAGTTTTTTCTCCATCACTAGCACATTTGAGGTTTATTGACACCACTAAGCCCTTCCTCCTGTCTCTGATTGATTGTTTTTGGTGCATTTCTTCAGACAGCAATTAAAGGACATGGAGGAGGTGGGGGAGATCGATCTTTTCACAGATTATTTGATTCATAGCAATCTGTCACAAAATGGTGAAAATTTTAACAAATATGAAAATAAATATATTTTTATGAAAGTTACGTACTGCAGCTTTGAAAAAATCCTCCAATCTAATCGAAAGCAGGTCTTCAGTCTAAATAAATGTGTTGGAGGTACAAATTGAAACAAAATCCTTCCACAAGTCTTCTGTACTTTACAGGAGCAAATTCATGTTTTCATTAAGAAACTGAAACAGCAGCAGTTTTCCACTCGATGGCGCCATTACACCTGTTCAGTCCAGTTTAGATTGTCACAAAGTTATGTCTGTTTTCATTCTCCCTCTGTTTGTCCAGGTGACATCTGGTACTCATGCTCATGTTTTTATGGCCTTTTTGTCCTCTTCTCAGGCAGGGCAGGGACCTCTGCAGCTCTAGCCGAGCGTCAGGGCAGAGGAAGATGTAAAACAGGGGATCCAGTAAAGTGTTGAGGCTGGTCAGGCCGTAGCACAGGCGGTAGACGTAGAAAATGGACTGCTCAAACGGACACGGCTCGTCGGTCTCCAACAGGGACACAAACCTGTATCCGCCTACCAGGTGGTAGGGTCCAAAGACTACAATAAAGTTGAATGTTATCACGACCAGGATGCCAACGATTTTGTAGCGCTCGTGGTTGGAGAGAGATGGAGACCGGCGTAGTGTCACCCCGATGTGAGCTGAGGTGTAGCTGGGGGGAGAAGAGGTTCAGATCAGACATGAACTTGTTTCTTTAAATGCCTAAAGCATACAGTTCTGACAATGTAAAAAAAACATTTTATTTTTACTTTTGCGAACAAACCCAGAAATTTTAAGAAGTTTCTGAGTTTCAAAAGAAGAAAACTATCAACTTTTCAAACTAATTATTGTCTAGGATTCAAACAAAAATTTTTTGAGATTTTCTAGTAAATTTGCACATTTTCAAACTCAGGAATTTTCTTTTCTTTTTTAGAAAATTTCTGAGATCGATCTGAAAATTTCTGAGATGAATATAAATTGTTTTGTTAACTGAGTAGTGGCTAAAAAATGTCCTTGTTTTTTCTAGAATTTTTCTGAGATTAGTCAAAAAATTTCTGAATTTTTTCTAGCAAATTTTCTACTTTTCAAATTTGCTGTCATACAAACCAGCAAAATTTCCCCAGGTAGAGTGAAACAAACCAACAAACATAAACATCTATTTGTCATTTTTACCTCATTTTGTTTATGTTCCTCGTTACTATTGCTATTGTGTATATTTTCAAAAACGAATTGTAATGTGCTGTTTTTGCCCGAATAAATTGTTATGAGCCATTATGCAGAAATGCATTAAGACAAAAAGGAACTTTCTTGTGGATTTATTGTAATATTAGAATGTAAAATACTGTGCTTGAGGTGTGAATAAAATCATATATTGTTTTCCTAAATGTCCATAGGTTTCAGTTTTGTCTAAACACAGTAGAAATGTGTTAAAAACAAAGTAGGAGAAGTTTTCTGGGTTGTGTTTGCTGAGATTGAGCCGCTCTCTAAGTAGCGGTTAGCATAACCTAGCAGTTAGCTTTGCTATAATTAAAGCTAACTGCTTTACTTCAAGCAGTTAACAATCTAATTGCTTAACAATTGCATTGTCTCGACATACCTCTGTTGTTTAGTATTTAAAAATAAGTTTCTGTTAGGTGTTGCACTTTAAGCAGCTGTTAGCTTGTTTATGTATAGCTTGACTATGACTAACTGTTAGCTTGTTGTCCCCAGCTAGCTGCGACGCAACAGATTAGCGGTTAGCTTGACTCTGGGGCGATTTGCGAGAAGATGAAGGACAATCTAAAGGCCAGATGAGGCCAAAAGCCGTCAAATTACTTTATAAAGCGAGTGCTGATGTCTGCTGCAGGTAAGATGACTGATAATAAATATTTCACACAGTCCCAGTTTGAAAAATAAACTTAAGCATCTAATTTGGAATAATCACATTTTTGGGTTTGATTTCAGAACACCTATTAACTTATTGACAAGTGTGTTTTAAAGCTTTTATTTATTTAAAACTAGTGGTGGAATATTAGGGCCAGGGCAGAATAAGATTTATTTCTTTTAATTACAAGAATAAAATCATTATGTATAAGTTTAAAAAAATCTGCCAGTCAATATTCAACACTGACTTAAGCTCTTACATCTTGCTGAAAATTTATTTATTAGTTTAGTTTTATTGAAGTGCACTAAGATATTTGCTATGATGAAGGATTAGGACCATACAAAAAAAGAGAAAATTATGAGAACAAGCAATAAAAATTTAAAGAATAAAATTGTGTGGTGATAATTTTAAGAGAATAAAGTCATAGTAGCATGACTTTATACTCTTATGAAGTCATACTTTATAGTAGTACGTTTATACTCTTATAAAATCATACTTTATGACTTTACAGAGAATAAAGTCATATAAAAGTGATAGTAGTGGCAGCTTGAAGTGACCCAATAAATTTTTTTTCTTTAATGCAACCTGAATCCGAACTTTTTGTGACAGTCTGACAACACGTCAGATTTTTTTCCAATGCCACCCAGGCCTCTTGGATATCTGACACATTTATAATTTTTTCAAATGTGAAATGAATCTGTTTGTCCTGGTTGCATTCATCTGACCTGAATGTCATTGATACGCGACAAACGTCACTATCCTGCGTCCTGATGCGCGCAAGCAGGAAGAAAAACAACAACAATGGTGGACTATAATAAAGATTAAGCTGCTGTTCTGGCTCCGGTTGAACAATAATCTATGCTCCACCGTTACCATCCATGTTTACTTCTGCAAACAGTGAGCTCTGCTTCTTCTTCTTTTTCATGGCGGTTTGTGAGCATGCTCTATGTGATCTTACTGCGCCTCTACTGTGCATGTGGGACACTGTAAAGTCTTTTGCAGTTCACACTGGAAATCACATACAAGTTGCATATATTTGGAAGTGTGAACGGCCTCATTAAATCGGAATTGGGTCACTTCAGGCTGCAGTCTGAACGTAGCCATAAGAAATGTGTGAAAACTGACTGTCACCATAACTAGAAGTACCAACTTACCCTAGAATGGTACATGGCAGCAGAAAACCCAGAAGCACAGTGATGATCTTAAAGTGAGCGTATCTGGGGCTGACCGGGTACTTCTCCAGACACAGCTGCCGCTCAGAGTCAAACACCGACGGCAGCAACCCACTCAGGCAGAACAGGAAGGTCAGGATCCACACAGCCACTCCCAGCACCGCCGCCACCTTCACTGTCCGCACCCTGCGGCTGCTCAGTGGGTACACGATGGCCAGGCAGCGGTCCATGGCGATCAGACACAGGAACATGACACTGGCGTAGACGTTGACGTAAAACACGTATCCGACCAGCTCGCAGGTGAGCCTGCCATAGGGCCAGCGGTGGGCACCCTGCAGGTAGAGGATCCACAGGGGCAAGGTGAGCAGCTGGAGGAGGTCCGACAGCAGCAGGTTGAGGATGTAAACGAGCTGGCAGCCCCCGCTACCCGAGCGACCGAGGTGGTACAAGCCCCAAAGAGACAGCAGGTTGCTGGGCAGGCCCAAGGAGAAGATGACACCGTAGACACAGGTCAGGGCAAAGACGTCCGTGTCCAGAGGGAGGCTGCAGGTGTCATTGGACATGTCTCTGCTGGTTAAGGTCCGGACATGGAACACTGGAGACGACGACGGACTCACTCAAGGCAGAAGGCCGCTTAGTACATTCATGTTGACATGTTCATAAATCCACCCAGCAGAGAAATAAAAAACATCTTCAAAAAGCCTCCTGTATCCATCCACGAATATAAAAAACCTGGACACTGTGAGCACTGCACTGCAAAAATACAAGATATTATCTTTTTTTGGCTGGTTTCTAGTGTAAATACACTTAAACTAGGACAAAACCTTACAGGTAATTTTGTTTTCAGTCAATAATTGTTTCATATTATTGACTCATGAGCAGATTTATACACTTATCAAAATTTCTGGAAAAACACAAAATCTTACCTATTTTTTTCTGGTTTCTAGTATGAGTACAATTAAAATAAGACAACATTAACTAAAAGGTAATGTTTAAGGCAATAATAATTTAATATTTATCAAAAAGTACCATCTCCACTGGCAAATTTCTGCTCTGATAACCAGCATTTGTCAAACTATACTGCAAAAACACAAATCTTACAAAGTATATTTTTGTTTGTTTTAAGTGCAAACATCTTTGTAAATGTGAAATAAAACAAAATTAACTTACAAGTAATTTTTTCATCATAACATATAATCTTATTTTCAGCCAATAACTATTTAATACTGATGAAAAATTGCTAGTTCCACTGGTAGATTTTTACACTTAGAGCAAGACATTTTTGCTGTGTTGTCAGTTTAACTAGTACTTTTTTAATAATTATTGAACAATTACTGACTTAAAAACAATCTCCTACATCTTTCTGAAAAGCTACTTGTAAATTAATTTTGTCCTATTTAAGTCTACAAAGATATTTGCACTAGAAATGAGACTGTTTTGCAGTGCAGAAAGTTTGACTCAACCATGTCATACGTTTATAAATCTGCCAGTGGAAATAGTACTTTTTCATCAATATTCAAGCATCATTTGTATATTAGTTTCATCCCTTTTCAAGTGTATTTACACTGTAAACTAGAGAAAAATGATGAGATTTAGTTTGTTTTGCAGTGTAGATCGTTTGATACTTGCAGGTGCATGAAAATAAATAAATATCAATAGTTTCCACTCACCTCCCACAGCTCTGTGTCAGAGTCTGAGTCCTGCAGTCTGCAGATGGGTGACCTGAGCTGGAGAAACGCTGGGAACACGATGTCTCGCCTGGGCCTTGTCTATTCTGTGATCGCTTCCTCCACAGGAAGCTCACTTCTTCAGATTTAAAGGCAACATCCTGACGCAGGAGAACGCCTTTCTGCCACAGAACAAAAACATACGCTCTCTCTATTTTCCTCTGCCACCCTGTAGTCACAATCCCCTAAGGTGGACCGCTGAGACATCCTGACCTCACTGCACAAACACAAAATCTTACCAAGCATTTTTGGCGTAGTTTCTAGTACAAATATCTTAGCTTACGAAATTTCTTGCAAATAAGACTAAACAAACTTGCAAGTAACTTTTAAGAAAGAAACTTGTTTTAAGAGGTGGCTTAATATGCTTTCTTGAACAGTTTAGGGTAGGTCTAGAAGTTGTACAAAACATGCTTATTACAGTTTTTGCATAAAATCATTCTTAGATAATAAGATTTTAGTCTATTCAGTTGTTTTAGCATCTCTTGTTGCTTTAAATCCTAGGTAGCTGCTGCTGGCCACACCCCCAGACTCACTGTCAACACTTGCATGTGAGTGTAACTGTGGGATTCGAAATGCAAATGCGCAACTATACAACCGAACATATTTGAAAAGCAGAAGTGGAGCCTCCTGCACAACCAAGAAGAATGCAGCAAGTGGTTTCTGGATGATAAGTCAACAACAATGGCTGCTGCTTTTCCCAGCAGCCATTGTACAGTGAAACCAGATGACCAAACATGTTGGAACTGAGGTTGGGTAGCTAGGTAACAGCATGGTGCCTTTTGACTGTGACAGTTGGAAGGCACCGTTTTGAAATGCCTCATTTTCCAGACATCAGAACACAAACATATTGCCAAAAAAACGCTGGGTGTTTCTTTGTAGAGCCGGTGCTGCTTTTAGAAGCAGCTGAGACTCAAATGGAAAAACAAATTGTGAATTTTACGTGACAAGGTCCCTTTTAGGAATTTTTTAAACTTAAGATAAGCTCTAATTTCTTGCTGAAAAGTCACTTCAAAGTTCATTTTGTTTTACTCTAAATATATGTAGATATTTGCAATAGAAACTAGATAAAAATACTTGGTAAGATTTTGTTTTTGCAGTGATACTTCATAATAAAATTACTCAAATAAAAGTAAGAAGTAAAGCTAATTAAAAAAAAACCTAAAAAAATGATTCAAGTAAATGTAATTGAGGACATGTAAGTAGTTACTAACCAACTCTGACTGATGAAGTATAGAAAAATGAACGCTGTGGTGAGTTTTTCTTCAAGTCAAACCTGGTTCAGAACAAAGCTGTAATTATTAATATTTTTAATTCCAAAACCAAGTTTTATAGACATTGGGTGAGCTAAATTTCTGTCCTGAGTAATTTTTCTCACCAAATAGAGGAAAAACATCCCAGACAATTGAAATTGTTTGAGTGGAGAATGGATTTATTGAGACAATAAGTGTGCCGTTGTATTTTTACCACACAGTTTCAAAGGGAGCGGGGCCATTCAGATTGCTTCCTTCTAAATGTCACAGATCTCTGATTTATTGAATAACCTCAGTTGGTACCCAGTGAGCTGAAAGTCCTGTGAGACTTTTGGACCCGTCTCCAGCTCACTCTGTTCCCCGGTGTGAGCTTCGCTCTGTCTGCAGTCGGGGACATAAACACGATTAAACAGGAAGCCACCTGAATGTGACCTCTTCCTCGAGTCCAACCCGGCGTGGCGACAGCAAGATAAATCGTTTCTAGTAGTTTATTTAAATATGGGAGGTACTTCTGTCAAAATTGATTTTATTTAAAATCTTCTGTTATTTTCAGAATGAATGAATCATTAACAACAGGTTCGATCTTCATTCTTGGACTTTTTAATAACTTTCCCTCCATATTGTATTTTTTTTTTTCCAACAGTTGCTGCCACTTTGTACTTATATTTATAATTAATTGATATAGATAGCGTTTAAGTCTGTCTGTCCCTTCATAAATTGTACAAACTTGAGTGATGTGAACAAATTCATCATTAATTATCTTCTCCTGACCCGATCTGACTTTAAAATGAGATGCGTTCATGTCTAAAAGCTGTGCAAACTGAGGCCAGAAAGCTGAGTTTTGTCTGAATTAGGAGCAAACTGTCTGATTTCCTGGAATATTAGGGACAACAATGGATCTCAATAACTTGTTTATAATTGGCCATGTCCAGTTTTTAAACACCAGAAAGACTAATCATTGCACAGGAACATATAACACACAAATATTTTATTCTCAGGATTTATTTAAAACAACCAAAGATAAATTCATTTTAGCTGAGCTGAGAAAGTAAGAAAGATCAACAGAAGCAACAATTAATAATTACAGTTATTAATAATCAAACTTATCACACAGTTAAATAAGTAAATGAAAAAAAAACAGAAAAAAAACAAGCACAACATTTACAATTTATTTTCTATATTTACACTTAAGAAGTAAATAGTTCAATAATGAGCAATTAGCCATTCAAAACACATTTTAATAAAATTTACTGAGCCATCAGGTTTATAATGAGATGTTATGGCTTGATGTTGAGATCAAAATTTTCCTCTAAATCTCCGCATGGTAAAGACTTGGTCCAAAATCAGGATTCGCCTTAATAGAAATTTCCAGATGTGTGTCCATCAGCATTACATCTCTTGTTTGAATTAAAAAATCTCTGGACCAGCCGCTGTTTTAATAAGAAATAGTCACTGTGAGACCGACCAGACGTCATTGATGCTTTGGTGGTTCAATAATTTGGATTCAAAATCAGGTTGGATATGAAAGGATCAGCAGTGGGCACACTGCTGCTGACACGCTAATAGCTGAATTAGTTGTTGGTTTATCCCTTTTTTGCTAACAGCATTCTTAGCAAAACCTAAATTATTTTTTCCAAATAACTTTACTTGGCTGTTTCATTTGATTTTCGTTTGTGAACAACTTACTGAATTCCTCAGTCAACTAAAAATATTAACTTGGAAAAGATGCCTGAAATATGTTTAGGTATTGTAGTGCAGGGAAATGTTTGTCTCCCCTACTTGTTGTGGTTGAATGAGGAAGTATCTTTGATGAATTACTCTGGTTTGATCTTCTTGCTGGACCTCTTACAGCAGAGTAACCTACAGACAAAGATGAAACCCCAGATGGAGATTCCAGATACAGCCAATACAAAGACTGCTACGTCGAGGCAGACGTAGGAATACCAAGGCAGCCTAAAGCCTGCGGACAGAAGGCGGGTCGCTCCTTTGTTCCTGATGACGTACTCGATCCAGAAGATGGCCGTGTCCATTGGAGACATTGGTCGGTCACGGTGTAGCCGAGAGAGACGTTGAATGTTTTCACGATAAGTCGGATTCTCCAAGATGTCCTTTAGAGCCTCCAGGAAATTGTCTTTGGTCAGTGATCGGACCTCCACCACCCTAGCTGCTCCGCGAACCTTCAGTCGGAGTAAGTTGTCAAACTGATCAAATAGGAGGGGCAAACCCAGAACAGGAACACCATGACAGATGGCCTCATACATGCCATTGGTTCCTCCATGGGCGATGAAGACCTTAGTCTTAGGATGTCCCAGCAGATCATTCTGGGGAAGCCATTTGACCAACTTGGTGTTTTTTCCCAAAGATGAAGGTTTTTCACCATCAAAGCGCCAAATCACTTTCTGAGGGAGTTCAGCAAAAGCAGCAGCAATGGCTTCTGTGATCCCATGAGGTAGAGCTGACACCACTGTTCCCAGTGACATGACCACCACCCCATGATCCCCAGAGCTCTGCATGAATTTCTCCAATTCATCAGGCAGAGGTTGAGCCTCCTTGCATTGGAAGCCCCCTATGTAAACCATATTGGGCATGGTGGGTCGAGGGAAGTCAAAGACAAAATCTCCCCTACAAAGCCAGATATCAGCTGAGAGCTCCAAAGACACCAAATCAGTCCCCCAGAGGGAAATGTTTTCTTGAATAAATCTGTGTAGGTTGGGTTAATGACAATGTACAACTCATAAAGGCTGTAGAGATAATGCAACATATTCTTTGTCCTCTCTAGAAAATCCATCTGATCATGAAGTTCACTTCCTGATACAGGGACATAGGAGACAGGAGATGGAGCTATGGATTGATGACTCTCTCCATTGGTAATCCAGCGGACATTAAAGACCATCGGCAGCTTGAGGTAACCACCAAGAATCACCCCTAAAGAGAAAGCAGGGTCTGTCAACATGAGGTCAAACTTCATGTCCTGTAACTTCTTCATTAACACTTCATCCTCTATAATTATATTAGACAATCTTGCCAAACTCTTATGGTTGTGTTTTAACAGCTGTGTAAGCAAATTATGTTGACAAAATGAGCATATAAAAGTAGGATGGCCACGGCAATCCATGACATCCAGAAGCATTTCCATGAAAAAGTTCCTGTCTGTCTCCTCGGAGAGTGTTGGAATATGAATGGAGGTATAAATGGAGGAGTTATTGGGGATGTACCAGCTTTTGGCAGAGTGCAAAACAGTAATTTCGTGACCCCTGGAGTGAAGCTGTTCCAAGATAACCTTCATGTTGATCCAGTGGCTGCCATCAACAGGCAACACCAGGATCTTACTGCCTTTAGAGTAAGTGGATCTGAGCACCAGACAGCAGAGGACTGCCAGGAATACAGAGACCGCTTTGGACATTTTCTGCAAAGGAAAAACAAAATAGTTTTTTTTTAATGCCAAACAGATTAACTTTTAAAAGAGGGGTTGAGTTATCAAGACCCTTTACTTCAGATGGAAAAGGTAGGAAACATTCTTTACCCCTAATGCAGTGTTATCATGACGCCCAGAAGGAGTGCGGCTTATTTTCCCATATGACAATGGTTAAATGTCGTCCCATCAGACAGTCAGTTCCCGAAACGACAAAGAAAAACCTTCTAAAAGTGTATGCGAGGTCAGTACAAGTTTGCTGAACCGCGCACATAATGAAAAGTTCATGGGTCCAGTGGACCTTGTCTCCTAGGACCGCAGGAGGGTTAGAAGCCAACCTTTCTAATACTTTGTAGAGTGCACTAAACCATGTGTTTTAAAATTCAAGAGTTTCCACTTGATATTTTCTTCCCTCTTCTAAAAGAGAGAAGGTATTTGTCAAGCTTTCTCTCTTTTTTCTGACAAGTTTTATGATGGTTTTCATACACAATTGTATTTGGTCTCATCAGACCAAGGATATGACTCCAAGAATTAAGGTGTCTGCCCCATTTTGCAAACTGCAGTATGGCTTTTTATGTTACATTTAGAGTAAATGCCTCTGTTTTGCCAAAATTTGATGAAGTATCAATTACGCATTTATCAGCATGTAAAAATCCAAACATATTTAGTTCACTCAGATCAACTCGGGACATAGTTAGGAAATGAACTGTATGGAGTTGTTTTTTCATAATAATGTAAACTGAAAAATCAAACCTGAATCTTGAAGAATCCTATTCCAGAAGTTTGCCTTGAGTTGTCCATCGTCAGGAAGTTGGATTGTATTCGACACTCGCCTCACGTTTCAGACAGCGAGTTTGAGCTTCAAGACAAAGTCCAGTATTTCTACTAAAGGCAATTACAAAGATTTATTGCTTGTGCTGAAAGGCTGTTTGGTTTAATTATGTATCATATCTGTGTCTGTTTAGTCAATAGCTTGGCTGTGGAAAGTATGGTTAGATTTCCTTTTTTTCACACTATCTCTAAAAGACCCCCAAAATTTGAGTTTTATTTCACCTAACAAAATCAAGGTGCGTTAACATCCCTTTTTTCTTAACATGTCCTCTTTGTAAGAACAAATTGTTTGATCCAGTCAGGAATAAGAGAATGACAGCAGGTCAATAAATAGAGGAATTGCAAAGATAAATTTATTGTGACAGAGGCAAAAAAATTTCAGGTTGCTTTTCAGCAAGTTGGTCTTGCATGTAAATCTCAGCCATCAATATAACTTTCTTTGTTTCCCTGTATGATTGTATACAATTGTGCAGGAGACTCATAATGAACAGTATTTAACTTTCCATTGATTCAAAACTATACTGGACTACAAAGTAAAAACGTGCAACACTAGAACCTTTTTCAGGAGGATGTGCATTGAACACAGATCTCAAGAACACAAGACAGTTTTCCTAGGCCTTGCTACTCTTACACGATCTTTATACCCTCTTTTTGTAACTCATATTACATAACCATTTTTAAATCTGTATTTCCCTGAGCATAGAAGCAAATTACCAAGTCTCATTGGAGGGCAAGAAAGTCCTTTGAAATTATACTCTCAAAGTTATGTGGGTGAAAGAATTGCCACTTTCAAAAAAGGATTAAAGCCAAATCTTTTATAAGTTGTGTACAGAAAATGTCATACAAGTTGCAGAGAGGAGCGATCAATGACACAGAGAACAACTTTTGATGAAAGTACCCCCAATTATTCTAAAAAGTCAAATACTCCTGAAAGGGTGATGTTTTTCCAAAGGCTTTTCCGTATCATCTTTCCTCATCAGTCATCCTTCATAAACATTAGTACTACCGTCTTCTAATGTTAGTATTCAGTGGCAGCTGGTGGTGATATTTGGGCCGACAAAATTAGCCCCAGTGAGCCGCAAAGCTGGACGCCTGTCAATCATTCTGAGCCGTGACAGACAGTAACGCTGATTGGAGCTGTCAGAAGTTAGCCCTTCGGAAAGATCCCCAGGCGGTTTGACAGCAGGTTTGTTGAAAAATTAAGAAAATGTGATACATTATTTATAACATGTATTTATTTTAAGTAGTTATTTTTAAATTATTTATTTTAAAAACTTTACTGTAAATGCCAGGGAGGGCCTAGCCCTACTAGTCCACTTATACCAGCCATACCTGTAAGTATTAATGCTGTATTTTACTGAGAAAAAGGTCGGTCACAAAATCGTTTTTGTTTTCCAAATTCAATATGTCCAGAAATTCCATTTTAATATAGGTCAGAAGATAGTTAACAATTGTATGGTATTACATTGAATATGAGGCAGAAATGTTAGTGTATTGCACTGCTTGCTGTTTTGGGTTCAGCTGCAGAGAGGGCACTGTTGCAAAGCTGTAAAGTGATTAAAACAGGTGTAATGTTTTGATGAATTACTCTGGTTTGATCTTCTTGCTGGACCTCTTGCAGCAGAGTAACCTACAGACAAAGACAAAACCCCACATGGAGATTCCAGATACAGCCAATACAAAGACTGCTACGTCGAGGCAGACGTAGGAATACCAAGGCAGTCTAAAGCCTGCGGGCAGAAGGTGGGTCGCTCCTTTGTTCCTGATGACGTACTCGATCCAGAAGATGGCTGTGTCCATTGGAGACATTGGTCGGTCACGGTGTAGCCGAGAGAGACGTTGAATGTTTTCACGATAAGTCGGATTCTCCAAGATGTCCTTTAGAGCCTCCAGGAAATTGTCTTTGGTCAGTGATCGGACCTCCACCACCCTAGCTGCACCACGAACCTTCAGTCGGAGTAAGTTGTCAAACTGATCAAATAGGAGGGGCAAACCCAGAACAGGAACTCCATGATAGATAGCCTCATACATGCCATTGGTTCCTCCATGGGCTATGAAGACCTTAGTCTTAGGATGTCCCAGCAGATCATTCTGGGGAAGCCACTTGACTAGCTTGGTGTTTTTTCCCAAAGTTGAAGGTTTGTCACCATCAAAGCGCCAAATGACTTTCTGAGGGAGCTCAGCAAAAGCAGCAGCAATGGCTTCTGTGATGTCAGATGGTAGAGCTGACACAATTGTTCCTACAGACATGAACACCACCCCATGATCCCCAGAGCTCTGCATGAATTCCTCCAACTCATGAGGCAGAGGTTGAGCCTCCTTGCACTGGAAGCCCCCTATGTAAACCATATTGGGCATGGTGGGTCGAGGGAACTCAAAGACAAAATCTCCCCTACAAAGCCAGATATCAGCTGAGAGCATCAAAGACACCAAATCAGTCCCAGGAGGGAAATGTTTCTGGAATAAATCTGTGTAGGTTGGGTTAATGACAATGTACAACTCATAAAGGCTGTAGAGATAATGCAACATATTCTTTGTCCTCTCTAGAAAACCCATCTGATCATGAAGTTCACTTCCTGATACAGGGACATAGGAGACAGGAGATGGAGCTATGGATTGATGACTCTCTCCATTGGTAATCCAGCGGACATTAAAGACCATCGGCAGCTTGAGGTAACCACCCAGAATCGCCCCCATGGGAAACGCTGGGTCTGTCAACATGAGGTCAAACTTGTTATTCTTGAGCTTCTTCATTAGTGTTTCATCCTTGAAAATATTATTAGTCATTATCGCCGAGATCTTATGCATGTCTTTTAACAGCATTGTAATCAAATTGTGTTGACAAAATGAGCGTATAAAAGTAGGATGGCCACGGCAGTCCATAACATCCTGCATCATTTCCACGTAAAAGTTTCTGTCCATCTCATCGAAGACTGATTGAACATGAACTGAGTTGTAAATGGAAGGGTTATTAGTGATGTACCAGCTGTTGGCAGAGTGCAAAACGGTGATTTCGTGTCCCCGGGAGTGAAGCTCTTCCAGGATAACCTTCATGTTGATCCAGTGGCTGCCATCAACAGGCAACACCAGGATCTTACTGCCTTTACAGTAATAGGCTCCGACCACCAGACAGCAGAGGACTGCTAGGAATACAGAGATAGTGTTGGACATTTTCTGTAAAGAAAAAAAAGTTTTTTTTGTCATGCAGATGAATTTTGAAAGAGGGTATAACTTATCAAGTTTATTTACATTAGACTGAAAAGGTAAGTGTGACGCTCAAGAGGAGCACAGATAATTTCACAATCAGACAGTGTGGAACCGAGAGGATTTTCCCATCAGACCGACAGTTTGCAAAATGACACCCAAAGAAAAATCTTTGCTTGGTCAGTATAACCCCACCAGATCCCTCACAGAGTAAAACGCTTACAGGGTCCAATGACACGGTCTCTTAAGTCCCCATGAGGGTTAAAAAAAAACCAACAGTTTCATCTAAGACTCTGCAGAGTTTACTAAACTTTTCATGTTTTAACTTTCAGAAATTTCCTGAAGAAATTTTTCTCTTTCTTCAGGAAGAACGTATTATAGATCAAGGAAGGCAAAATATTTTACAAGCTTCCTCTCTTTTTCTTCTGACAAGTTTAGCAATGATTGTTATACCCAATTACATTTGGTCTCATCAGAACAAAGAATATCACTCCAAAATTAGGGATTGCATTTGTATTTGCAAACTGCTATATGGCTTTTTATGTTGCTTTTAGAGTAATGGTCTGTATTTTACTCCAAATACAATGAAGTATTCAATATGTATTAACAGGATTTAAAAGAAAATGGCAGAATCCAAACATATGTAATTCATTCAGATTAACTCAGGAAGCAGTTAGAAAATTAACAATATGGAGTCGTTTTTTCATAATATAAACTGAAAAATCAAACCTGAATCTTGATGAATTCTTTTCCAGATGTTTGCCTTGAGCAGTCCTTCGTCAGGAAGCAGGATTGTATTTTATACTGGCCTCACGTTTCAATCAATGATCTTGAACATGTGGGACAAAGTCCAATATTTGTACTAAAGGTAAGTTACAAAACATTTGTCCTGAAAGGCAGTTTGTTTTATCTACGCAGCAAATTTGTATGGGTTAAGTCAATAGGTTGGATGTGGCGTGGGTACTGGATGTTTTCTTTTTCATATTATCTCTTAAATATTCAACAAATGTCATTATTTAGGGGATCCTAGACATGTCGTTTTTTAACATCAAAAAACAATAAGTTATTATGACATATTGAGTTCTGTAAATCTGTACTGACTGACTGCCATGCTCATTACAAAATGCGCACTGCCATGCCACAGAACAGCCATGGACACAAAAAAAGCTCAAAAGCTATGCTTAAATGCTGCCTTGTCACCTTCTTGCATGTAATTACTGTCATTTTCACAACTCCATGTTCTCATATGTCCATTTTATGGTTTTATATGAGCAACCAGTCAAGAGGAGCGTGGCTGATATCAAAATCAGCCACGCTGAAGGGTTAAGTAACAAAGATTAAAGAATTGTCACGCTCAAAAAAGAATTAGTCAACAACTTTAATCAGTTGTGGGCAGAAAATGTTCAGTAATATATTTTTTGTAATCAATAGAATTTAAAGATTCAAACAGAAAGGAAGAAAACATTTATTTATATTTGTTTCAGAAACAGATTTGTTGCAAAAACCACTTCAACTTTCTCAATTCAAAATGTCCAGAAATACCATTAAAATACAGGTCAGATGAGTTTATTGTCTTAACGCAACATTGAATATAAGGCAGAAATGTTGGTATATTGCACAACTTGTTGTTTTAGGATCAGCTACAGGGAGGGCACTGTTGTAAAGTTGCATATTTATTAAAATGGAAGTAATTTTTTGATGAATTACTCTGGTTTGATCTTCTTGCTGGACCTCTTACAGCAGAGTAACCTACAGACAGAGATGAAACCCCAGATGGAGATTCCAGATACAGCCAATACAAAGACTGCTACGTCGAGGCAGACGTAGGAATACCAAGGCAGCCTAAAGCCTGTGGCAGAAGGTGGGTCGCTCCTTTGTTCCTGATGATACTCGATCCAGAAGATGGCTGTGTCCATTGGAGACATTGGTCGGTCACGGTGTAGCGAGAGAGACGTTGAATGTTTTCACGATAAGTCGATTCTCCAAGATGTCCTTTAGAGCCTCCAGGAAATTGTCTTTGGTCAGTGATTGGACCTCCACTACCTAGCTGCACCACGAACTTCAGTCGGAGTAAGTTGTCAAATTGATCAAATAGGAGGGGCAAACCCAGAACAGGAACTCCATGATAGATAGCCTCATACATGCCATTGGTTCCTCCATGGGCGATGAAGACCTTAGTCTTAGGATGTCCCAACAGATCATTCTGGGGAAGCCATTTAACCAACTTGGTGTTTTTTCCCAAAGTTGAAGGTTTGTCACTCTCAAGACGCCAAATGACTTTCTGAGGGAGCTCAGCAAAAGCAGCAGCAATGGCTTCTGTGATGTCAGATGGTAGAGCTGACACAATTGTTCCTACAGACATAATCACCACCCCATGATCCCCAGAGCTCTGCATGAATTCCTCCAACTCATGAGGCAGAGGCTGGCCTCGTTGCACTGGAAGCCCCCTATGTAAACCATATTGGGCATGGTGGGTCGAGGGAACTCAAAGACAAAATCTCCCTACAAAGCCAGATATCAGCTGAGAGCTCCAAAGACACCAAATCAGTCCCAGGAGGGAAATGTTTCTGGAATAAATCTGTGTAGGCTGGGTTAATGATGAAGTACTGTTCATAAAGATTGTAGAGATAATGCAACATATTTTTCACCCTCTCCTGAAAATCCATTTGATTGTGAAGTTCACTTCCAGATATAGGAACATAGGAGACAGGAGAAGGTGCGATAGTTAGATGACCTTCCCCTGTATTCATCCAGCGAACATTATAGACCATTGGCAGCTTGAGGTAACCACCCAGAATCACCCCTAAGGTAAGGGCAGGGTCTGTCAACATGAGATTAAACTTTGAATCCTGCAAGATCTTTATGAAATCTTTGTCCTCTAATATTATGTTAGCAGATTTGGCCAGAATCTCATGGCCCTTCCCTAACATTGATGTAATCAAGTGCTGTTGGCAAAATGTGCTTATAAAGCTGGAATAGCTGCGGCAACTCATGACATCCTTCAGCATTTTATTGTAAAAGCTCCTGTCTTCCTCATCCTCCAACATTGGGACATTAATGGATGTGTAAATGGACGAGTTACTGGGGATGTACCAGCTCTTGGCAGATCTTAGAACGGTAATTTCATGGCCCCTGGAGTGAAGCTCTTCAAGGATTATCTTCATGTTGATCCAGTGGCTTCCATCAACAGGCACCACCAGGATCTTACTGCCTTTACAGTAAGAGGGTCCAAGCGTCAGGAAGCAGAGGACTGCCAGGATTATATATAAAGATTTAGACATTTTCTGCAGGAAGATATAAAACAACACAGTTAATCATCTGATGTAACTACCTTTATAAAAATTGGAGTTGTCGTGAATTGCTGCACTGTAGCAACGCAATTGTAACTAATGAATCTGTGAAGACTTATCAGACCATTTCCGAACAATTTGTATATCCTGAGAAAGACACATTAATACAGTTGACAGTCTTCCAATACCAATATGAAAATGAGCAATACTTCAGCTACATCTCACTGTACCTTTGAAAACTGGCTTATCTGCCTGTTCTTTGTGAAGCAATTACAGTAACTGGTTAAGTGGAGTTCTGTCACAACACACCAAGGCACCAACTGTCCAATTTTTGTTATTTTCTTCTCTTTGGTTCCAGAGTCTCCAGATTTAGTCTGTAACTGAAAACCTCTGGTGCCTGCTCATTATAGATCAGTGGCCACGTCTACCATTGCTTTGATTGTGATTTGTTTTTACAGTAAGTTTATTGTCTTTTGCATTGGCTGTACCATTCTTTCTTTTTATATAGAAATGGTGTTGTTGGAGAATGAACAGTTTGATCCAACAATAGAAAAAAAGGATAGAAAACATGTTGAAGCTAAAATGAGAAAAAAAACTGAACAAGTGTGACAGTTTGAAAGGATTGTCAGGAGAAGGACACTCCTCTCTAAAACTATATTACTCCATAGTTTAGGTATTTTGTTGAATGAACATAATACCTGTGGAGCTTTGACCCTTTGACAGATCAGATCAGATTAAAATAGGCAACAAAATAACTGAAAAAAGTTTTACATAGCAAATATAGAGAAATATATTTTTGAGGAATGCTGTCAGTGTGAAACCTTCAGCATTTTCTGATCTCCATATAAAACTTGAGAATAATGTTATTTATGTCACCAGTTTGCAGTATGCATTGAGATATTTTGTGTGAATAACTTGCATAAAAATCTCTGCTGGAATTTGCAACCTGTGTAGCCATTACACAGCAATCTTGATGAGACCTTATACACCCAGAGCTTTAACAAGAAGAAATGACTAAACCCATTTATTTTACACTAAGATCATCATCAAAGGTTCCGAGATTTCTTACTTTTTTCATACAAAGATTAATCAGTTGCAACCTGATTGTTATTAAATCCAATTCCAGACGTTTGACTTGAGCTTCCTGTAGTCGATGAAGTAGTATTGTATGAGACACTCAACTCAGTTTTTACATACAGAGACCCATAGTTTGTGAAACAAAGTCCATTTTATGGATTAAAGGTCAACCTCAAAGGATTACAGCTGTTATCGAACACAGTAATACTTTCAGACTGATGTCAACCAATCAGGTTCATTTTAAATACTTTGTATTGTATGTTTGTTCATGCAAAATAATGACCACAAGCTAAAATATTTTTATTTTGTAAGACCTGTTTTATAGGTGTTTGTCTCTTGTATGCGTTTTCTTAACTAAAATAAAGGGCAAACAACAGTGTCAAAACGCAATATATTTCCATGACTTTCAGTAAAAACAATGCAAACCCAAAGTATATGGCTGTTTTTCTGCCTCTAGCTGAAAACTATGCTCTCTCAGAGTTTGTTATTGCGAAACTCCCTCACAGTAAAAACTGGTGCAAGTCATATGACCCACCATTGTAATCCCATAACTTCAAATTCAAAGGAAGAAGGATTCTGAATCAGCTAATAGCTAAATGGGATCAAGCTCACAGCTAATCAGATTGAAGCCAATAGCTTATGTGAATCCAGAAAAACATCAACCAGGGCAGAGTTAGCAACTATTACACCATGTTCCAAATTATTTTACAAGTGATATTTTCTCAGATTTTTGGAGTCAAAATAAAAACTAATGTAACTCACTCTAATAGATCTTTAAATTCAAACTAATCAGGGTCACACTAACGGCTAATCTGAGTCAAGCTAGAAGCAAGTCTAAACCAGTTCTAATAGCCAATTAGAGTTAAACAAATTAGTTAAGCTAAAAGCAAATCTGTATCTAGGTATATAATACCTAATCAGTGTCAAATTAAGGATAATCAGAAAAGAGCTAACATGTTGGAGTACAGCTAACAACAGTTAAAAATTTCATCAGGATTCAAAGTCTTTTTTGTGAGGTAGAGAAGGACATTCAGCTTTTTCAGCTCAATTTCAGAATCTAACTAATACTTAGCTACTGGTAACAAGGCTTTCAGGCATTGCAGCATTAAATCTGTTTAAATGAGAAATCACCAACAATTTTTTCCTAAATTTGTTCAGTAAAAAAGCATTTTACTAGAGTTTGTCAGTAAAGACCTTTATTTTCTTAAAACAAAACAAAATATGCAACAGAAAACATCAACCAATGCATTGCTTATGGTGTCTAAGAAACAAAACTAACTGTTACTGAAAAAGGAGTTATTCTGCTTTTATCTTCTTGTTAGACTTCCTGCAGTAGAGTGCCTTGCAGGCCAAGATAGAGCCACACATGATGCCTCCAGTTACTGTTAAGAGAAAGACTGTTACATCCAGACAGAAGTAGGAATACCAAGGCAGATTGAAACCTGCAAACTGCAGGTGGGCGGCTCCTTTGTTCCTGATGACGTACTCGATCCAGAAGATGGCTGTGTCCATTGGAGACATTGGTCGGTCACGGTGTAGCTGAGAGAGATGTTGGATGTTTTCACGATAAGTCGGATTCTCCAAGATGTCCTTTAGAGCCTCCAGGAAATTGTCTTTGGTCAGTGATCGGACCTCCACCACCCTAGCTGCTCCGCGAACTTTCAGTCGGAGTAAGTTGTCAAATTGATCAAATAGGAGGGGCAAACCCAGACGCCATGATAAATGGCCTCATACATGCCATTGGTTCCTCCATGGGCTATGAAGACCTTAGTCTTAGGATGTCCCAACAGATCATTCTGGGGAAGCCATTTGACCAACTTAGTGTTTTTTCCCAAAAATGAAGGTTTGTCACCAACAAAACGCCAAATGACTTTCTGAGGGAGCTCAGCAAAAGCAGCAGCAATGGCTTCTGTGATCCTATGCGGCAGAGCTGACACCAGTGTTCCCAGTGACATGACCACCACCCCATGATCCCCAGAGCTCTGCATGAGTGCCTCCAACTCATGAGGCAGAGGCTGGGCCTCGTTGCACTGGAAGCCCCCTATGTAAACCATATTGGGCATGGTGGGTCGAGGGAACTCAAAGACAAAATCTGCCCTGAAGAGCCAGATATCAGCTGAGAGCTCCAAAGACACCAAATCAGTCCCAGGAGGGAAATGTTTCTGGAGTAGATCTGTGTAGGCTGGGTTAATGATGAAGTACTGTTCATAAAGATTGTAGAGATAATGCAGCATGTTCTTTGTCCTCTCCTCAAAATTCATTTGATCGTGAAGTTCACTTCCTGATACAGGAGTATAGGAGACAGGAGAGGGAGCAATAGTTTGATGTCCCTCTCCATTATTAATCCAACGGACATTGAAAACCATCGGTAGCTTGAGGTAACTACCAAGAATCACCCCTAAAGAGAAGGCTGGATCTGTCAACATGAGATCAAACTTGGTGTCCTTTAACTTCTGCATTAGCAATTCGTCCTCTAAAATAGTAGCAGCAGATTTGGCTAAAATATCATGGGCGTTCTCTAACATGTTTGTGATCAACTGTTGTTGGTAAAACGAGCGTATCAAGGTAGAATAGCTGCGACGATCCATGACATCTAGCAGAACTTTATTGTAAACGCTCCTGTCTCCCCCAACTGTCGGAATATGAATTGAGGTATAAATGGAGGAGTTAGTAGGGATGTACCAGCTCTTGGCAGAGTGCATAACGGTAATTTCATGGCCTTTGGAGTGAAGCTCATCAAGGATTATCTTCATGTTGATCCAGTGGCTGCATTCAAGAGGCACCACCAGGATCTTACTGCCTCTACAGTAAGAGGGTCTGAGCATCAGGAAGCAGAGGATTGCCAAGATTACCGAGACAGATTTGGACATTTTCTACAAAAGAAGAAAAAACGTTTTTTCCAACATAAGGGAGTTGTGGTCTAGAATACCTCCTTATCAATGTGCAATCTTTTTTCACTAGATGTCACAAGAAAGAATGGGAATTAGTGATCTTGTGTCTGTGAGATCTCAACTCAGAGCACCAAAAGCCAAGATATTTATGGTAATTTATTATACAATTTTAATATTAGAAGAAACTAAAAAAAACAAATCAAACAATCAAAAATTAATGTGACAATATGTAATTAGTCTGTGCAACCTTCACACTGTTAGAAATTTTTTTTAATTATAAATAAACATATATTCAAACCTGGGCAAACTTCCAATAATTCACAAAATTCATAATACATAATTATAAATTAAGGTTCTTTAACCAATTAATGGAGGAACAATGGAGTAGAGATTTTTCCAAAGTAGGTTTTATATACCCACAATTACCACAAAATAAGACAATGAACACATATTTAAACTGAGAGAAAAGTTGATGGGTGTTTTAATTTAAGGTAAAACTTTATGAATTGGCTCACCAGATCTGAAAGTCTTGCTTGAGCTGTCAGTTGTCAAGGAGCTAGTGAACTATTTACTGCCATTCATCCCATATTTTACACACAGATGCTCCTTGCTTGTAAGACAAAGTCCATGAATAGATTAAGGTATAACAAAGGTCTATGTGACATACCATAAACCTTTCTAAGGTAATCTGGTTATTTTATATAACTGATATTGTTTTATATTTTGGAACAAATATTTAGCTTGACATTATTTTTTGACTTTAAGTTATGTTTCAATAAAGTTTATTTTTGTTTGCTACCTCTCCCTGTTTCCAGATGAACAGCTGAGTATGAGGCAGAAAAAAAGCAAGTTGGCTCCTTTGAACACTAAGTGCTATTCTGTTTCTTCTGCGCTGACATCCACATAAAATAAGTTCATAGAAAGTGCAGGATGTAGGGGACATTTCCAAAGCACCCAACTCAGGAGCATCATTGATTTTCCTTGGCACTGATTTGTTGTAACCCCAAAAGTGAGGACAAGAAAAACCATGGATGTTAGCTTCCAAAAACAACCCAAGTGATTAAAACATCCAACCATTTTTTGGCAATACGTTTAGGATTTTTGGTCTCTTGAAAGTAACCAATTTCAAAAACCTCTTGATTGTTAAGTCGCATTGTGCCGTTACCTAGCAACCCCGGTTTAATCAGTCCGTCACCTGGCAACCCAATTGAAACTTGATCATGCAATACCCATATAAAAATTAAGACCTAGATATTTACCTGTACATATCTTTATATGGGTAAGTAATTCCTTTACCTTCTCAATATATCCAAAATGATTTCTGTCTTAAGACTTTGTGTCCAAAAATTAGACATTTTAATTACATTTTAATTGTAGCTTAAGAGTGTTAATATTTAAAAACAAGTTTGTGTATGAGGCAAAAGATTTTTCATTAAACATGATAGAGTTAAACTATATGTATTTCTACTATAAAATTGTTATTTTTTGGTGAATTACTCTACTTTCCTCAGTTATTCTGTTTTTCTCTTCATTCTAGACTTCCTGCAGCAGAGTGCCTTACAGGCCAAGACAGAACCACAAATAATGCCTCCAGTTATGGCTAAGAGAAAGACTGTTACATCCAGACAGAAGTAGGAATACCAAGGCAGATTGAAACCTGTGGACCGAAGGTGGGAGGCTCCTTTGTTCCTGATGACGTACTCTATCCAGAAGATTGCTGTGTCCACTGGAGACATTGGTCGGTCACGGTGTAGCTGAGAGAGACGTTGGATATTTTCACGGTAAGATGCATTCTCCAAGATGTCCTTAAGAGCCTCCAGAAAATTGTCTTTGGTCAGTGATCGGACCTCCACTACCCTAGCTGCTCCGCGAACTTTCAGTCGGAGTAAGTTGTCAAATTGATCAAATAGGAGGGGCAAACCCAGAACAGGAACACCATGACAGATGGCCTCATACATGCCATTGGTTCCTCCATGGGCTATGAAGACTTTAGTTTTAGGATGTTCCAGGAGATCCTTCTGGGGAAGCCAGTTGACCAGCTTGGTGTTTTTTCCCAAAGATGAAGGTTTGTCACCAACAAAACGCCAAATGACTTTTTGAGGGAGCTCAGCAAAAGCAGCAGCAATGGCTTCTGTAATGTCAGATGGGAGAGCTGACACCAGTGTTCCCAGTGACATGACCACCACCCCATGATCCCCAGAGCTCTGCATGAATTCCTCCAACTCATCAGGCAGAGGTTGAGCCTCCTTGCACTGGAACCCCCCTATGTAAACCATATTGGGCATGGTGGGTCGAGGGAACTCAAAGACAAAATCTGCCCTGAAAAGCCAGATATCAGCTGAGAGCTCCAAAGACACCAAATCAGTCCCAGGAGGGAAATGTTTCTGGAATAAATCTGTGTAGGCTGGGTTAATGACAATGTACAACTCATAAAGGCTGTAGAGATAATGCAACATATTTTTTATCCTCTCCTGAAAATCCATTTGATCATGAAGTTCACTTCCAGGTATAGGAACATAGGTGACAGGAGATGGAGCTATAGTTAGATGACCTTCCCCTGTATTAATCCAGCGGACATTATAGACCATTGGCAGCTTGAGGTAACCACCCAGAATCACGCCTAAAGGAAGTGCTGGGTCTGTTAATATTATGTCAAATTTTGTATCCTGCAACCTCTTCATTAGCACAACATCCTCCAAAATTTTACCTGCTGACTTTGCCATAATTGTATGACCATCTCCTAAGGCAGATGTGAGTAAGTACTGTTGATAAAACGTGCGTATAAAATTGGGATAGCTTCGTCGATACATGACATCCTGGATCATTGTAATATAAAAGTCTCTGTCTGCCTCATCCTCCAACATTGGGATATTAATGGAGGTATAAATGGAGGAGTTGCTGGGGATGTACCAACTCTTGGCCGAGCGTAGAACTGTGATTTCATGGCCTCTGGAGTGAAGCTCTTCAAGGATTATTTTCATGTTGATCCAATGGCTGCCATCAACAGGCACCACCAGGATCTTACTCTCTCCACAAGAAGTGTATGGAGGTAACAGGAAGTAGAGAAGTGCCAGGAATACAGAGGCAGTGGTGGACATTTCCTGAGGGTTAAAAATGCATTAAATTGTTAGCTAACCTTAAATGTCAAATAGTAGCACTTTTTATCTATAACTCTATTACATTTCAATGATATGTTGATGTGAACAAACTTCCACTAATATCCTATAGCAGAGCTAATTAATTATTTAACTTTTAGCATATGTTCTTACTTTAAAAATGTTTAGTGCACTTGCCCTAATAAAGTTTTTTCCAGATAAATTCTAAAGCGCTAATTTACTTGAATAGGGTTATGTTTTTCTATGTTGAAGTTTGTCTGTTAAAAATTCAATTTGTTAGACTCTTATATTCGTGCTCTTATTTTGAAGTCTGTTTACACAGCAGTTCTGTTTCCTCTCCTCATGTTGTCTTTTTGCAGACACTTTATTTAGTAAGTGACAAGTAAACAACAAATGAAGAAATTAAGTAGAAAAATTCTTACATGAACAAACCAAGGCTGTTAGTTAAAAAAAAAAAAATTAAATTCACTTATATGAATTATTTTGACAAGCTTTTGTGTTACATGTTTTTCTATCTTGTATGAAAGATCAAAACTATCAAATTACAAGTATTTTATAGAGAACCCCATAAAAGAGGGAAGTGGCATACAGCTAAAACTGGTAAAACAGCTGTAAACTGAGTAAATAAACTCATGTGTTTATCTCATTTACTTCCACTTGGAACAAGGCTAGGTCACCTGCCTTGAGTCATATAGGTGCACTGTTGTTACTCTGTAACTCAAATTGATTTGTATGAAGAAAGTGAAAACCTATTTCGTAAATTTTCAGCAGTAAAAACAAAATTTAGGTCAGTTTTTGTTTGAGGACACGGTGTATTCAGAAAAATTTTAATAGAGCAATTAAATAAAACAATCAAGGTCAGCAAATGGCCCCCAAACGTCACTTTGAACATCCTTGATCTATATAATATATTTCTAGTAAATTTAGTTGATACAATAAATTAATTATTCAAAATTATCCTAATTTATTACCCTATTATGTACCTCCTTTTCATGGGTCATAAGCAGTGTCAAAAACCAGTATGTGTGTGTATTTATTTTAATATTCTGGGTCCTTCTTACATGTGTGTAATTGTTACATTTTTAAAATTGACTATAAAGAAATACAGTACACAACACATACTCCAGTGAATATGGATAAATAGTACATTTTAAAGCATAATTGATTCTTAACTCATCAGTCTTCAGTTTTGGTTTAGTGCTGTTTGTTTTTACGTATAAAGAGTTTGTTAATCAACTCACCTGACTGTTGTTGCACCCGATTCCCAGAGTATAATTTGTACTGCCAGTCCTTGGTGAGCCAGAATAATATTTGGTACTCATTTGCCGACAGCTTAGCTTTTGAACAAAGATTACCTCAGTTTGTAATGCAAAGTCCAGTTTGTAGATGAAAGGTGAAGTCATTGGAATTCATTGGAGTTTATGACACATTTAATATCAGATGTTACTTGTGAACATAGCAGTACAATGGATTTATTTACTAATTTCTCTGTGACATTTGCTAATGGAGTATTTCTTTGAGCTAGAAGGTGTTGTGTATTTTATTGTTACATGTTATTTTCCCAGTCAGCCTGTTCAGTTTGTCAAACTGAATCCATTTGCACACAACTCAGTTTTTACACACCTTAAATGAAACAAAGTCCAGACTTTGGGTTAAAGGTAACACACACACACATTTATCATGAAAATTGCATTGGTTAGCAAAATGATGTACATGAACTTTGCACAAAAGGTAAAGTAGGCAAGTTTTATTTGTTTAGCACATTTAAGCAACAAGACAGTTCAAAGTGCTTCACAGGGTGAAAACATAAACAATACATTGCAGTGGGATAATAAAGGCAAATAAAGAAAAAATGGACTATAGACTAAAATGTATTATTTTTCAGTCAACATTAATCAAAGACAACTCAGAAAATGTAATTCACACCCCCTCTCACAAGTTCTGGGACGCTGTTAGCAGTAGAGATGTTCTGAAAAGGAAGAGGGGCCCAAATCAAATTCTGCCTCCAGGCCCAACATAACCTTTGGCTGGCCCTGCTGCTCAGTTATATTTCTGTATTTTTCCAAACTGGTCACTGAATCCAAATCAACTCTTACATCCTTTTTGGTTGCACACAAAAAATGCTTCTGGAACACAGCAAAAACCTTCCAAACTTCAGGTCGACAGGAGGAAAAATCCTGCCTGGAAAATGGCCAGAGTGAGAGAGACAGGAGTGGCAGGAGGAAAGAGAGAAGGAGGAAGCAGCAAGGTCATGCAACGGAGGGAAAATAACACGGGCGTTCGTGATTAAGGCGTTAGATCGAGTCCCAACTCAGTCATATCAGCGAGCCGCAGCCTTACCCTCCCCTCGCTCACTCGCCCTCTGAGGATTTACACAAACCACAAAAAGACTGGGACAAAGGTGATCATAAAAAGGTGACTGCTGTAAAGGTTTCACAACATTACGGATAACTATTAACCCTGAGGAGAGGCTAGCATTAGCATCTGTCGTCTTACAGTCACAGGATGCATGGTTACTGTAATTTAGGAATTATTAAAGCTTTGGTGATTTAAAAAAAATTTAACTTATGCGGAAATTTCAAGTTACTGTGAAATAAGCATAGAAAAATTGTAGGCTGTAAGAGAAGCACTAGTACAAAATAAAAGTAAAAAGTAGTCAAGAAATTACTCGACAGTAAAAACGTATTTGAAGAAAACTCACAGGTTGTCTTCAAATTGTGAGTCCTGAGTAATTGATAAAATTATTTAATATTTAAGAATTACTTAATCAGACTGATAAAAATTTTAATTTATGTGGAACCAAAATAAAAATAATCCATATAGATAACAAAATTGGGGGGCGGAAAAAACAATTTTTCTAGATCAGTATGGAACTTTAACAGAAACTGCAGGTGTGTGTCTGGTTTTTGGTTAAAACATGTTTGTTCTTCATTCATTGAAGCTATTCACAGTGGACAGAGAAGCCAGAAAATGCACTAAATTCAGAGCAGCAATACGTAATAAAATTACTCTAGTAAAAGTAAAATGTACAGCTTAGTAAATATACTCCTAAATGTACATTTTTTTCCAAGTAAGTGCAACTGAGTAAATGTAACTAATAATTTAAATTAGCTTTAAAAAAGCATGTAAAAGCAAGAAAATGGTCATCATGTAGGTGTTGTTTACTGTTTGAATGTTTAAAATTTAACTAATAATGTCAAAATGTGGTGCAATGTAATTGCTTTTAGTTTTTTAAGCAGATGTTTTAAGCGTAGGCCTTTCTTCCCTTCACTGCAGGAACTGATACAGAATCAACGGTGAGTTTGAGCTTTAGCGCCCTCTGGCGGATGAAAATGGAAATAAACATGAAAATAAAAATAGAGAAATGGAAAAAGTATCAGTTTTGTATTCGGGCAAAAGTTTCAACATGTTTATAAGACTGAAAATAGTCTAATTTTTTAAGACAATTAACTGATATGTACATTTTCAGCAAGATATAGCAGCTTGTTTTATGCAAATAATTCCTTAACATTGATTTAAAAAAAATGTACTGGTTCCATTGGCAGATTATTTCACTTATAACATGGGAAAAATGCCTTGTTCTAAGTGAAATAATCTGCTGTGGTAATAATAATAATCTCTTAGTAAGTTTTTGTGTTTTTGCAGTGTATCCAGAAATTTTACTGAAATAAGAATAGCGATACTTTATTTATTTTTTTTATTATTCAAGTAAAAATAAAAATAATCATGTAGTAAAGCTTATTTTTTGTCCAAAAAAGTTACTAAAACAAATGTAACCAGTTACTACAACTCTTCCACTAAACATACAACATAAACTACTCAGCCTTCACTTTAAGTTGTATCTTTATTTATTCTCCATAGGGACAAATAGTTTTCATAAACAGCACAGATAGTTTGTGCATGTGTAATCCAAAGTTTCAGATCAAATCTGGATGGCATAAAACTGTCAGAGCAAGTTGACATTTTGCATAAGAAGTAAAAATAGCTGCAGTTCAGAGGAGAAGTGGGAGCTGCTTGTGAAGGCTGCAGCTCTTCCTCCTCTGAACAATGAGTCAGACTTAAAGGATGAAATTCATCATTAAAAATAATTTTCATGTTTGGATTGCTACATCCATCCAACACTTGGCTGCAGAAAAGGATCTAGGCAACACTAAATGCCATCTATCTTTATTAATATTATTATTATTTCTTTTTTACATGTAAAAAAAAAAGTAAAAACGCTAAATACAAAATATTTTAATGAAATGTTACAGTCTGATTTCTAAGTGGTGAGAAATAAATATAGATTTATTTCCAACAATTAGTCAATTCTGTGAAGAAGAGTGTCTAGATTGCTTTTTTCATGCTTAATATTTGAAATTCTTACTTTTGAAACTTCATTTTGTGTTTACCCCGGTTATATATATCTGATTTTAAAATGGTTTGATTGTCTGAAATATGTGGGTCAGAAAAGCAAAAATAGAACAGATTTTCACAGCACTGCCTCTAAAAAACACCTTCAGTTTGTGTTAAATCATGTTTTTTGTTTTTTTTGCTTTTTGTGAGGATTAGTTTAAAATCTCATCTGATCCTCAGACAAGACCCAACAAGTTGAAACGGATCTGCTGATTTGTGACTCTGCCCTCTGCTGGAGAGGCAACGCAACTCCCAAAATAGAAAGTTGATAAAATTCCTTCACATCAAACTTTGCAATTTATTAAACAGTGTTAAACTTTCCTCTAATCACCAGACATTTAAAGTCTCAGAATGAAGTACTGGAAACTGATGCACTATTACAAGTTTGTTGCCATGGTGCCTACAATCAAAGGAAGGCCTGCAAATAAAAACAATCATTACTGTTTTCCTCAAGAGGCTCTTTCCATATTTGCCACACCTTGCAGAAAGTTTGACGCAGAGCCCAGATATGTGAGCAAAGCTCCCTGGAGACACTCACCAGCTCAGAGGCTTTTCCTTCCTCTAATTGTTCAGCATCATAAAACGGATCGGTTCAGCTCGCATGTCGCTCGTCACACAGCTGATCCAGACACCATGCATGAACTGTGACTTGGTTACAGGTGTTTACTGTTAAATGAACACACCAGAACTCCCACAAGTCTCTGGCACCATCATTCAAAAAACTATAAGTACACTCTAAGATCACCCTCAGCAGTCGGCAGGGTTTTGGGGATTTCAGAAATCTGGATGTAAGATACCTCCAACCCTACTGACATATCGATGTCATGTCGGTATGAGGTAGGGTTAGTGTTTGCTGGTAGGGTTAAGGGTCTGTTTGTAGGGTTGGAGGTAGGGTCTGAGGTTTGTTGGTGGGGTTGGAGGTAGGGTAGAGGGTCTGTTTGTAGGGTTGGAGGTAGGAATCTGGGTTTGTTGGTGGGGTTGGAGGTAGGGTAGAGGGTCTGTTTGTAGGGTTGGAGGTAGGGTCATGGGTTTGTTGGTGGGGTTGGAGGTAGGGTAGAGGGTCTGTTTGTAGGGTTGGAGGTAGGGTCTGGGTTTGTTGTAGGGTTGGAGGTAGGGTCTGGGTTTGTTGGTGGGGTTGGAGGTAGGATCTGGGTTTGTTGGTGGGTTGGAGGTAGGATCTGGGGTTTGTTGGTGGGGTTGGAGGTAGGATCTGGGGTTTGTTGGTGGGGTTGGAGGTAGGGTAGGGGTCTGTTTGTAGGGTTGGAGGTAGGGTCTGGGGTTTGTTGGTGGGGTTGGAGGTAGGGTCATGGGTTTGTTGGTTTGCTAAGGGTAGGAGTTTTTCGGTAAGGTTGGTTGTAGGGTTGAGGTTTGTAGGGTTGGAGGTTGGGTTGATTGGTTTGTCACCTTCAGCATTTTAAGGACCTCAGAAACCTGGATGGAAAACCCCTCTGATCCTACTGACATACCAATGCCATGTTGTTATGAATCTGTAGGGTTGGACGTAGGATCAGTCTGTGTTTAATAACCTTGATAGAAACATAATATTTATTTCCCGTCTTTATTAGGAATTATATACAGTATTTTCAGACATACATGCATATTTGTTCAACCATTACATAAAAATGGTAAACAAAAGTAAATGTGTGGATGAAATCAGTATTTTCTACAATGTGGATGCATGGCTGATGGTAAAATATTTCCCTATTTTCCATCCTTTGTTCCTTTTCACTCAATGTTCTATCAGATGTTCCTGGAAACATGTGAAAGTCTCTCTTAATCCAATCAAGCGTGGAAACTCTTTGGGTGCCATCTCTCTGATGACGGCTGTGACGTCAGCTTCTCGGGTTGTTGATGAGGGAGCGGACCATTAGTTCTGATCAGGCGGCTGCGCTGACAAACACCACCGGGTTTTGTCTCGTCTTGATCTCTCTGGATATCTGACACCAGGTGCAGGGCCCGCAGAAGCTCGCATACACGCAGTCGCCGCAAACGCTTCCCTGCGGAAAACAAAGTGTAAAAACCACACAGCAGAAAGAGTTTAAAGGAGTTCAAGCTGGAGCAGGTTTCAGACTGATCTGAGGTCAGATAAACTCTGCTGCCGTCTCAAGAACACTTTGACTCTTTTCTGTAAATAAACAAATTAGTAAAGAGGCTGGATGAGTTCAAGGTCAATAAAAACTGAGAACAACGAAAAGTGAAACTGAGAGAATATTTCTGTTAACTGGAATAAGCAAAAACGGTAAATAATTAATGAGTTTATGAAATTAAAACATACTGAAGTTTTAGATTGATATCTGTTGATTTTATGTTTATTCGTCTGTTTATTAGCATTTTGAACTGATGTGAAATAAACGTTTAAATTTACGACATCCCATAATCCACCTGGTGGCCAGTAGCTAGTCCGCAAAATGGTGGCAGTAAAGGTTGGGAGTTGAAACCAGTCAGTTTGTTTTTCAACAATAATTGAATAAATTGTTTTATGGTATCTTCTGTTGAATATTCAATACCCAATCGATGCCGAATCACAATACTTTGACCTTTCTGAAAAAACTCAAACTACTATTACAACTAATAAAAACTAATCTGAATTCAAACAATATTTAATAAAGACTAGCAGACACACTATAAAAACTAATTAAAACTAACTGTATTAGGCAAACAAAAAGTCACAGACACGCAATATAATTATAATGAAAAACCTCGATGCCATATCTGTGGCGGATGGACGCGCGGAGTGCCGTGGCCATGGGCGGGATGAGTCCGAAAGCATCCAGCAGGGGGAGACAGAAACACTCTCCAGCCTCCTTCGCTGTCTGGCAGGCGAAGCAGGGAAAACAGCAGCAGGTGTAGCAACCTGCAGAGGAAGTCGGGGTGAAAGGTCAGGCTGCTGGTTACAGATGACTTCAGAGATCAGAGTTGAGATGCTTCTGTCCTCAGAGGAGGACGGGTTGATTATCATCTAAAGATGGACGTCGTAATTCCAGATCAGCCAGGAGGACGCTGAGTCAGACAGTCTGTCTAACAACTCAACCATCAGTTTGTTCCTCCATCCATCCATCCATCCATCCATCCATCCATCCATCCATCCATCCATCCATCCATCCATCCATCCATCCATCCATCTCCATATTTCTCCTCAGACTTTCAGTTTGACGTCCCAATTTCAACATTTGTATTGATGTGGTTAGAAATAAAAGGAGGTCATTATTTATCGTCCGCCTTCTCGTAGTTTGACCTTTCATTCTGTATCCTTAGTGATCATTTGATCAGAAAGAAACCGATGAGGTGAGATAACTTCCACTTTCTGCTCGTCCAAGTTGACTCTACAGGACAAAACCAGATTGGCATCATGTGGAAGCTGCATGCTCCAGCTTTACCATTCTGTTTTTGTTCTGGTTTAGCGGTTTTAGCCACTAAAATCTTCAGCTTGTTAAACATGCTGAGCTAGCGGTTACTCTTATTGACTCGTACTCACAGACAGCGCGGTCCTGGCAGCAGTCACAGATGCCAGAGGACCACTGTTTGGACGCAGAGGTCATGGCGAACGCCCGGGGTTGGGTGGCCTGAATGTCGGCAGACATGTCTTCAGCTCCTGGCAAAAGGAAATAAAAAGGAAATAACAGTCCTATGTTTCTAAATAAATTTTACTCATGTATAGGAACATGACGCAGACTAACTCAATAAATGGAGGACATACTTTATGTTTTTTATAGAGAGAGTAGTGCAGCTTACTTTTTGTTCTGTTGTCTCTAATATGTCAGATAATCTAACAAATGTTAACATCAGATTAAGTGAAATCTTTTCATGTAGGTTGGTTTGGGTCGCTTTGGATACTTTATACCCACCATGACAAACAATTTAAAATATGCTGTTTGTTTCAGTTTTAAATGTGTTGGGTTGTAACTACTTAAATGTTCTACAAAATAAAATATTCTTTATCAAGAGAAAAAACATGTTGGTGTGGTGTGATCTACCTCTGCTTTCTGGAGGGTTTTTATTACCAAACAAGATGCAGAATTTCCAAGTATTAATCCAAAACACAGAAATAATCTAAAGCCTAAACCTGATTCAGAAATATATGGTTACTCTCTTTGAGTCTTACCTCACCTGTGATCCAGAAAGTCTCACACCTGAGAAGTTAGAAAACATGACATATGGCAGAGGAAGCCTCTTGACAACTGGTTTGTCCAGCTGCAGAGCGATCATCAAAATGACAGTCCAACGTCAGACAATGAGGCAGTCAAAGTATTTTTAACTGTAATCTCAGAGATCTTGTTCTTTTTAAATAGCCACGCCTTGAACCTCTTTTACTGTTTTCATTGTTAGAGATGTCTGACAGCGGAGAACAATCTTCTCCACCATCATGGCCGCCACAACAGTGATAAAAGCAGGTCATCTGGAGTTATGTCATTATGTGCTGATGTTTTGTTTGTAGTTGTTTGAAAAAGAAAAGGCAGTTTGTACCTTTATGTCTGAAGAGTGCATCAAAATAATCCCACATGAAGTAGCTTGATACTGCAGCTATTGGATGGAAATGCATTAAAGCTTTGGCCAGCACTTACACTGGTCTTCTTCACCATAAAAATCTCATTCAAAAGTCATAATATTGTGTTTAATTTCCAACATTTAAGGAAATAAACTAATAACTGGCTTGCAAGGTTTTTTGGTTGTTGTTTTTTTTTTTTTTTTGTCCAATCAAAACTCGACAGTAAACATGCTCATAACTTTTGAAGCACCTGAAGTTTGTGTGACTTTTAAACCTATTTTTATAACTTTCTAGCTGGGACAGAAATGTCTGTACATTTGGCTTCAGTTTGTTAGTTTTATTTATTTATGTCCTTCTCAATTTCTCTGCTAACCATATTTTTAATTAAAGTCCTTTAGGTAGTGACAAAAATAAAAAACTGCATCTGAGTTGGACTGCCAGAGACTTCTGCCACCACAAGGGGGCGTCGTAACAGCCCTACTGAACAAAGAATAAAATATATAGAAAGGTATTTGTGAGTAAAATATGAACTCATCGTTTCTGTGCATTGTTCCACAAAACAGCTGATCTCTAAACTCCTATTGAGTTTGACACAAAAACTATTTTGTTAAGTTTGAAGAGTTTTCCGCCTGCGCGATCATATTTATTTACATTATTATGAGAAACTACGGGGTGAAATCTTAAAATTAAATTTTTATCGTTTCAGATGCTCACAAATACAGTTAGCCTCTTTTTCTGCATTATCTATATAAATCAAGGTTGTTATTACAGCTTCAAGATATTGTGCAAACTGAAGTTGAGGCAAAAAAGCAAACAAAACTTTGACGCATAATCTTGAAATAAAAACAGTTTCTGTAAGTTTTCAGAGCAGAACAATTCCCTAAAAACTAAATTGAACACAAAGCTGATTCAGTCTTGCAAGCAATAAAGTAAAAAAAAGGAACAAAAATAGCGCTGCATATTTATTTGCACATTACTTACGCAACATATTCACAAGTAATACTTATTAGAGACACTTTGACAAAAGAAAAAAAAATCCTGCAAAGACAACAGTATTAAAAAACCTAAAGTGTTTAAATAAATTTTAAATAATTTGAACATATAATTTGTCCCTGCAGGCCAAATGAAGTGTGATTAAATCCTCTCTTGGACTTTCTGCCATTAGGGAAAGAATGGTTCCCAGAGGCGTCTAGACCAAGTGCGCCCCCTGCAGGGAGGTCAGAGCAGTGTATCTGACTGTGGAGGAGGCCTGCAGAGAGGAGGCGGCGTGGGATGCTGCTCTTCTTTTCAGCTCCCTGGAGATCTGAAGCCAAGATAGCATGTAGCAGCAGCATCCGTACAGGCAGTCGCTCCACACGCTTCCCTGCTCAGAGAAAAAGAGACAGAAAGAGACAGAAAGAGCTGAACATCAGTGGGAGGCCCTGGCAGAAAGGTCAACATTTACATTCAGGTGCAGAAGACACGTTTTTATTGTTTTATAAAGCAGCAGAACCACCGTTCACTTAAATGAGCTTTTGTTGCCCCTCATCAACAATTTTACTATAAAAGAGGATTTATTATGCAAAATTAACTTTTTGCCCGTTTTTATACTTCAGTATGAGTCTCAACTGCTTGGAGAAAACATTAAACATCACCAGTCCAGTTATTAAACATCACCAGTCCTGTTACTATCAGTACAAGTTGTGCTAATATCTCTTCTATGGTATTTTAATGTCTGCAGGTTCAGGAATCACTGTACCTAAACATTGAAAAACATTGTTATACTTGTTATACACTGTAAAACATAAGTTTACTTTGCCTAATGATGCAGGTGGATGTGATTATATATTAGATTGTTGGATATTATGGATAATATTATGGGATGTTGTTACTCAGACTGGCACTTGAAGTTATGATGTCGAAACGTGTGTTAAAATATTTTTCTATGTGACTCTTTTTAACTTTAAGCAACTTAATGGATGGATGGATGGATGGACGGACGGACGGACGGACTGTTGCATGGTAGAAATGTTTTAAATTGATCTGAATTCTGGCGGCTGATTGAATGAAGCTGAATCTTTTCTTTCTTTCTCTCCTTCATGATCGTCTCTCTTCACCTGCTGAGTCTCCTTTAGTCACTTCTCACCTCCACCATGTCACTTCTTCTCCACTTTTCCCTCCTCTCCATGTCCTCCCGTCTCTTGTGGACGCGCTGGTCCACACAAAGGACGTCCACAGAATGTGACAAACTCCCAGCGTTATGTAAAAGCGTCGACCCTCGCTGTGATTTCATGTGGGAGGTGACATGAACACCCAGAATAATTTCACCACCCACTAACACACCAACAGGTCCAGTGATTTAAAGACAACTGCTCCATTTCGTCTAAAAAATGAAGAAAATAAGGCGGCCATGTTGGATCAACATTATGAGTGACCACCGGAGGATCTCATCTTGATATCAGCCTCCATTTCTGTTCATTCAAAACTTAAAAAAAGTCCAATATGCCGACGTCAAAATAGCTTCATAGCTAAATTATCAATCATTTAACATTTAAATGACCAAATTATAAAGTTAAGTGGAAGTTTGAGTGGAAGAAATGACAATAATTCATTTGTGTCCCGTGAATTTTTGTGTAAAATATTTTTGTTTTTCATCTGGTGGGTAGAAAACCCATAAATATTTGGTCAAACGTAAATGATTATATTATTAATTGCTTAATATCTTAAAAAATACATAATCAAATGGACCAAAATATAAAGTCAAATTAAAATTTTGGTATTTTAAAGAAAAAAATAACAATAATTCATATAAGTGACAAAAAATAACAAAATTTTAGCAAAAGCTGCAGGTGTGCGTCTGTGTCTGTTGAACTTTTGGTTAAAACATGTTTGTTTTTCATTCAGTGGGAAGAAAATCCAGAAATTTTACTCAAATAAGAGTAAAAATACTTCCTAATGAAATACCTCAAAAGTAAAAAATACTCCTAAAAGTACACAAACGTAAGTGTAACCAAATAAATGAAACATCCAGCTCTGGATATTCTGAATACCAGAGCTAAATGAAGCTCTGCTTTTACGTGATAATGTTGCTCAAAAACAAGCAACGATATAAATCTGTTGCTTCACGTTGCTTTGTTCACAGGATTCGCGCCGTGATGGGAAAACTGCTGCTTTACAAAACAAACAACCTACAGGTTTGGACCCGTTTTCAGAAGAAGTCCTGGCATCGCTCCGCAGCCTCGGCCCACTCCGCCCTCAGAGGAGCCAACATTTCCAGCCTCCTTCTCTCATGGCAGCGCTCCAGCCTCCGTCCGGCCCACAAACACTTTCAGCCTTATCTGTCCTCCTCACTTTCCCAGAAAATAAAAGGAAAAAAATGTCTCTGCAGCACGGAGCTGGCGCCGCCGATGAGCTTTTTGCTATTTGCATGTCAAGCATCTGCATGGAGAGCTGATGACTATCATCGCTGGTCACGCATTATGGCAGGCAGTTTTGACATAAAATCGGTGTTACATCACTTACATGATTCCATGTATCTGAAATTAGTTATTTATGACCAAACATATTAAGATATCTCTAATTATATGATACTTGCAGAAAGTTGTATGGAGCATATGGCAAGACGTTTTAACATTAAGTCAGTTTCGTCTGACTATCATTGCTACTCTTACTTGATAAACTCTCTGCATTCTCTACTCCAGGGCTTTCAAAATATTTAAACTCAACTTCATCTGGGACCATCAAAAACATGAATGTTCTTAAAGGGCCAGAATGTGTTGATAAAACCGTTTAAACGGATATAATATCAATAAACAGCTGCTTGTTTCAGCATTCAATAAGTGTTTCTTAAAGTAAAATATTTAACATCTTTCACACAGATCAGTTCATCCTGGATTTAATGATTTTTTTTGTTGCTCTTTGCAATCAAAATCACAGATTTTGTGGTGCTAATATTTGCTTTCCATACTTTTTTTCTAAAAGTGTTTTCTAGGAACTTTTCAACTTTGGAATGTTCAAGAATTTTTTCTAGAAAATTTCTGAGATTAATCTCAAAACAAGATTCTTTTTTCTATCAAACTTTCAACTTTTGAAACTGAAATTTTCTTGCTTTCTCTAGAAACTCCCTAATATTAATATAAATATTTCAAATGTTTTTCTACCAATTTTTCAACTTTTCAAGTTTTGAAATTTTCACGTTTTTTTCTAGAAAAAGTTTGACTTTCATGTTGAAGATTCTGAGATCAATCTAAAACTTTGAGTTTTTCTTGTAAATTTTTGACTGAGATATTTTTTCTAAAAAATGTAGATTATTTTCAAAATTTCTCAGTTTTATTTTTCTATCAAATTTTCAACTTTTCAGACTTTGAAATTTTCAAGGTTGTACAAAATTTCTGAGATTGATCTAAAAAATTCTAGAACATATTTGACTTTTCAAAATCAGAAATATTCTTTTTTTTGGTAGAAAATTTCTAAATACTTCTAGCAAATTTTGGACTTTTCAATCTCAGAAAATGTCTTTTTTTTTCTAGGAAAATTCCAGAAATAATTGCAAAATTTTAGATTATTTTGTAGAAAACTAAACTTTAACATTTTCAACTGCTTCCTAGAAAATTTTTGAAATTAATCTCAAAATTTCATAATTTTTTCTAGGCCATGTTCAACTGTTCAAACTGAAATTTTAACCTTTTTCTCAAAAATTTAAGTTTTTTGGCAGAAACCTATTCCTTCTGCTTTTCTATCTATAATGGTTCTAATTCGCTGTCAGAGATGTCGGCCTATGAAAATGTAATTTGCTGTAAAATGTGTGTTTATGTGAGTTGCGGTACCTTGATGCCATAGCGTTCCCTGACCGAAGCCCTCATGGCCAGAGAGGCCGGAGGAACGCAGCTGATGCAGTCCAGCAGAGGCAGGCAGGGACAGGCGCCGGCCGCATTCGTTACCTTACAGGTAAACAGCGGGAGGCAACAGCAGGCCAAGCAGCCTGCACACACACACACACACACACACACACACACACACACACACACACACACACACACACACACACACACACACACACACACACACACACACACTGCTGAGTCCCCTCACAACATTCCCACTGGTTTCATGTTGTCCACTTACAGTCTCCGATGTCTTTGTAGCACTCACACAGGCCGGTGCTCCAGGCTCCAGCCTCTTTGACCCGGTTCTTTGGCTGCACACTCACCACATGTCTGGACATGGCGCGGCTGCTCTTCCACAGAAACATGAAAGTTAGAAAACATGTATAATGACAGACTGAAATGATGCCGCATTATCCCAAGTACTATTTATGGTTCCTACTCATTGTTTTCCCAGAGCAATCAGTGATCTAAACACCGAGCACAGCAGCCATTAAAGGAGCTGAATTATGTAAAATAGGCTTTTTTTTTTAGCTTTATGCCATGTTTTAATGTTAATCCCTCTTAAAAACAAACCTGGAGTTTTATCCTGATTCCTTCATGCATGTTTTAGAAATCATTTAATTTCCATGGCAAACATTCAGCTGTACAAAACGGCTGGTTGTACTTAGCCCCGCCTTCGAGACCCAGCTCCTCCTCAAAGCTTCTGCATTTCAGAGCTCCTTCAGACTAGCCAATTAGCAATTAGCACCTGGTGGAACTGTTCATCAGCTGACCTCGTTATGGGAGCTACTTCTCCGGGAAACGCTGGGAAAAACATCAAAAGAGTCATGTTGGGATGACTTCCTGAAGGCGGAGCTTAGGAAAGAGCAGGAGCTTCTTAAAGAGACAGAAGCCAAATTTCAAGGCTTTAAATTATGAAGTAAATTTTCTTTAAGTCATATCTGATGTAAATAGCATTTTTATAACAATTGAAGGCAATTGTAAAATAGCACTATATGTTTGAAAAACATAAAACTGCCCCTTTAAATAAATTAGACCAAGGTTGAACAATTTTAGTGTGAATTTAGTATATTTTAACTTTCCAAACCTTTTGTGGTATTTTTAGAGAAACAAATCAAGAATTCACATCACACATTAAGTTATAGTGGTGGTCTTTTCAATAAGGCTACATTGTGTAAAATAGTTCAGTAAAAGGAGAAATTGTATATTTGGCAGTGCAGCTAAAAAGAAAGCAGGAAGTAAGCAGAATATATTTGAATTTTCAAGTTTTACCCAAGTAACCCATTAAAACCAATAAACATTAATTCCAGTTACACTGAAGTCAAAAGTAGAAAGCATATGTTGGATTTTATGCTAATTCCGATTTTTTCCCCCCATCATAAGTTACATTTTAGTTCTGGTTTTTAGCCACAAATCAAAATGAAAGGACAGAAAGACTCCAAACAAGTGGGTCCAGGTCAAACTGGTGTCCTCTCAGAAATGATTAACGTCCCAGTTCTCCAAACAGAAACTGAAAATATAAAACCAACAGTTTAATTCCTTAAACTTAGACTTACCTGTTTTAAGAGCTGAAATGTCCTGAAATCCAACGGGGAACAGTTTTGTTCTTGTTTATAAACGACTGTCTCTTGTTTCTGTCCTCCGTCTTTCTCTGTGTTTTGGTATAAATAGAAAACAGTCAGACGGTAAACAGGGCGGCCATGTTCCCATAACTGTTAACGAATCATGTTAAATCTCCAAGCAACTGCTTGGAATAGGGAACATTTTATATAAGAATAGGAACATTTTCAATAATTAACAGGGAAGTTACTATTTTTAAATTAAAAACAGCAAAAACACAAAATTTACCAAGAATTTTCTGGTCTAGTTTCTAATGTAAATATTTTAGTACACTTGAAATAAGGCAAAATTAATTTACAAGTAGCTTTTTAACAAAATATAACGGCTTGTTTCAAGTAAATAATTTTTTTATTTAACTTTATTTATTATTGATTTAAACAAGTGCTTACATTGTGCTGTAAAGTTACTTGTAAGTTAATTTTGTCATATTTCAAGTGTACTAAGATATTGCATAAGAAACAAGAGTTGGTAAGATTTAGTGGTTTTACAGTGCAGAACCATACTTTATAGTACTTATTATTAAGACTTGAATATTTTAACACCCGTTGTGAGTTAAATATCAAAGCTTTTTCTTAAAAACAGATTTTTTTTGGTGTCTTTATTGTTGGAAAACCACCAAAGTAGTAAGATCTGTCACAACATCAACTGGACTCTGAATGTCAACATTTTCACAGTTGTATTTTCACATAAACAATAAATTACAGCTTGGACATATCTGATCTCTCGTTGTTCTTTTCAAAGCAAGCGCAGCAGCTATCAGCAAAAGGACGCAGTCAGGGGAATCTCACCCGTATTCGGCTGACCCAAAATATAAGGACTGGAACTGACACACAGGATTTTGCAATAGATTTGCAGAGGAGACATCCATGACACTGCAGAGATAGGCATGGTTCACATGTGCTCTCAAATGGAGACACTGATTACTGGAACCAAACTGTGAAAGGCAGAAAGGCATCAGAAAATAATGTGGAATGTACTGATTTTACCTGCCAAGTGAAAAACAGGCAAACCGTTTTGAAGCAAATATGTCTGATCTACCTATTTTATAAACAGAATGTTGCTAAACAGCTTAGCTAAGTACTCATAAAATGAACCCACTCTCATTAGTGAAGCATTAGTAACAACTAGATTATCTTCATGCAAATCCATTATTTTAGATTGTTGACATGCTTTTTACTCCTTATAGACAAAAACCAGGTAGCTTTAAATCAGCTGTTGAATGGACTTTGTTAGCTACGTCTAGGTTAAAGACTTAAAGTTTTCATCTTCAGCTAGGCTAACATTTATCTTAACTAATGAAAGCGTGGTAACATTATACACTTATCGGCTAGTTGAAATCTGTATGTCAAGCTAAGCTAACACTTATTTTAACTAATGTATGTGTTGTAAAATGATACAGTTGTGGCAAGTAAAAGTTTTTATACTAAGCTAATATTTTTACAAATACGTGGTAAAACAATACCACATCTACGTTTTTAAGCTAAGTTAACATTTGCTATTTTACTAAAAGCTCTTCAACAAAAGGGGAAAAGATATCAGTTTATTTGGAGATTGTTAAAGATAATTTTGTTTTTCTGGTTCATATGTTATACATAGAAGCAGACTGATGTAAATGTGGTGGGAAAAAATATCAGTTCCTAAAGATTATTAGCAACTATAACTGGAGGAAACGGCTAGCTCACAAAATGTCATAAAGATCATTATTTCTATTTTTCTGACAACAAATTGGATATTGTGTATTGCATTGGTATTGCATCAGATGTTGAGTGAATTTTGTTAGCTTGAACCAGGATTGTTAGGCTAGGCTAAGTTTGTATGCTAAGCTAGGTGAGGCTAATACCATGATGGGTATTTTCTGATCATTTTTATTTAATTTACCTAAAGACTTGGTGAAGAAACAATATTTTTACATTGTGCAAATAGAAATCGGAAAATTCGCTCATTTTTAAATAATATTTATTTAGCTTACATAAATGTTTATATTCACACTATAGACTAAAATAGTAAAAGGCACTCATTTGTCTCTGTAAAATGTTTTTATTAACAATAATATAAAATAAGACAGATTAAACATTTAGCAGAGTAAGAATTAAAAATAAATTTGAATTGAAAAGGAAAATTTACAAATATTCAACGAAATACAAGTAAAAACATAAACGTATTCACAAAAACGAGTAAAAAAACAAACTGAAAACAGTAAAAGCATTGAAAAAGTTTGAAAAGGAAGCTTTTTTATATTCTACAATCATTGCATATTTGAAAACTTTTATGACCTCAAAGAGAAAATGCTTAGTTTGCTACTACAACTTATAGCTTTTAATACAAATAGATTCAAATAGTTTTAATGTTTTGTTTTCATCGCTCTCACTTCAATCCTCCTCATTTACAAAATTGCACTGTAACAAGGGAAGTTACACATAGTTTTCATCACCGGGGTTTCTGCAAAGTCAAGAGGAAAAAAGATAAGACAATATTAAAGAGAAAAAGACAAAACATGTTTGTGCTCCACTCACTATTTTTCTTTATTTCGCAGCAGAGGCAGAATTTCAGAACCTGTTTCTTCATGTGATCTGTGGGAATGAGTGGCTTTGGGCATCTTTTTGCATTGCGAGATTGAACATCTGCAACACACACAATAAAATGGAACCAAAACATAAAATTAAATAAACAGATGCAACACAATGAAAACTTGCCAAACTGGTCCTAACTCACCTCTGCATCTGCAATCAATTATGTCACGTTTAGTAAATCCAACAGAACGAAATTCATCACAATGAGCTGCAAAAAAAAAAAATACATGAAATGTATGTGCTTTTCCAAATATACAGAACAAAATGTAATATGAATCAGCATTTTTACCCGTCCTGTCGGAGAAGCAGTGGATCAGGACGACCAGCAGCAGAGCGGCTCCAACAAGCTTGGCCATGTTTTCCTTGTTTTTCTTGTTTTCTGTTTTCACGCCAAAGTGAATAACTGCACCAACTCCAACTGTTTTATACCAGAACCCGTCCGGGTCCGTTTGGTCAGATCAGTCCTGGCATGTTGGGAGAGGCAGTAGGGGGTCGGGGTGTTAATCTCTAATCTCTGCTTTAAATCATTGATAGCATATTTACACTTAGATGCAGGAGCAGACTGACAAAAATGTGGTGGGAAAAAAGCGATAAGCACATAAAAACAACTAGTGTTTCATCACTAAATACTTTAGAATAAAACTATAAACTATATACTTAAAATAATCGCCCTGTCAAAAATGTAGCATAAATTGATAGCTAGAGGTTAGCATTGTTAGGCACAATGACTGAGGGGAAATAGCTAGATTACAAATATATATATATATATATATATATATATATATATATATATATATATATATATATATATATATAAGTTCTTGACAGTTTTTCTTATTATGTGCTGCATCAAATTTGAGTTATGTTGTTAGCCTGAACCAGCTCGGCTTATACTGCCAGGCTAGCTAAAGTTTCTATGCTAAGCTAGGCAAAGCTTAATCTTTTCTAATAATTTGATTTTGTCAAAAAATGAGTGGAGAAATTATATTTTCACTGAATAAAAAACTAGGTGATCTGTGCAAGGTATGTAATATATGTTTTTGTTGGAGTGAAGAAATTGTGATATTAGTGTCAATTAGTCAACAGCTACAGATATTACCATTAGCATCGTTAGCCCGCATGACTGGAGGGAAAAGGCTAGCTTACAAAATATCCTAAAAATAATCATTTTCATTTTTCTAACACCACAATTACTATTGTGTGTTTATTTGGTTAGTACCATAGCAGATGTTGAGTGAATTTTGTTAGCTTGAACCATGGCTGTTAGGCTATGCTAAGTTTGCATGCTAAGCTAGGCGAAGCTAATACCAAGATAGTTCATTTCTAACCCCTTTGATTAGCTAAAAAAAATGGTACAGAAACAATATTTTACTTTGTAAAAATATTGTAAAAAACATCATATTGTTTTTGAGAAACTTACATTTTGTAATAATATTTTATTTCATTTCTTTTTCTTTATTTAGCTTACATAAATGTTTATATTGAAACTAGTATAAAAACAAAAAGGACTCATTTATGTCTATGTAAAAAAAAATCATAGCACAAGTATAAAAATAAGATATATAAAACATTTAGCAGTCATTGTAAAAAAAAATTTATATTGAAATGGTAAATTTACAAATGTATTATTTGATGAAACAGGTAAAAAAAAAAGTATTTACAAAAACAAGAGAAAAATTTTTAAAAAGATGCTTCTTTACATAATCTCTATATTTGAGAAAGACTGTTGCCTTATTTTACAAAACATGGTCAATTTAAACAACAGAGTTGCTCCAACAACTTATACAAAAAGATTCTTGCAATAACACAAAGTGGATTTGTTTCTTTTTTCCATCCTGGTCATCAGTTGGTGTCTTGTTTTCACATTTATAAAGGCCTTGAACCGTAACAAGAAAGGCTGCAGAACTTTTCCGTCTTTGTGGTTCCTGAAAACGTTAGAGAAAGAAAATATATATAAGACGATGATAATAATCTCATTTCCACTCTGTGTCAGAGAGCAGCGTTAACAAACCCCCAGTAGAGATACTTGGACTGGAGATGTTACAAGTTAACTCAACTCCGAGTTAACTTACTCTGAGTTACAGAATAGAGAAGAACGTGAGAATTTGTGTTCGGTGACAGGTGATAACGGCATGTCGCCTTTTTCCCTCTCCTGGTTGAATTGTGGATGAAACATTGAGTGTCTTGGCTTTATTTACTGAAAGCCACATGTTTGAGCTCCACTTACTTCTTCCTTTGCAGCAGAGACATTCCTTCATAGCCAGGTGATTTCTGGGTCTGCGGCACTTATTCGCTGTGCAAGGCTGAGTTTCTGCAACTGCAACACATGCACCGTGTAAAGGTTCCCCCAATAAGCATTGAAATGCCTTGGCAAGAAGTTTTTAGAATAAATCAGAGCTGGTCATAACTCACCT